ATCAGAGTGCAAGTTTCATTTGTTCCTTTTAACTTGAAAGAACACTATTATGACATTGAGTTCCACATCATATGTCATCAGAGAAATGCAAATTAAAATAAGATACCACTACCCACGGATTAGAATGGCCCAAATCCAGAACACTGACAACACCAAATGCTGACAAGTCTCTCTCATTCATTGCTGGTGGAGATGCAAAATGGTACAGCTACTTCGGAAGACAGTTTAGCAGTTTCGTACAAAACTAAACATAGTCTAATCATATGAGACAGCAATCACACTCTTGGTATTTAGCTCAAGGAGTCGAAAACTGACGTCCAAACGAAAAGCTGCACATGGATGTTTATAGCAGCTTTATTCACAATTGCTAGAAACTTGGCACACGATAATAGTAATATTCCAGGCAATGGACTATTATTTAGCACTAAAAAGAAATGTGCCATCAAATCATGAGAAGACATGGAGAAATCTTAAATTCTTACTACTAAGTGAAAGAAACCAGCCTGAAAAGGCTGCCTACTGTATAATTCCAACTATAACATTCCAGAAAAGGCAAAACTATACAGAACAAAAATATCAATGGTTGCTGGGGGTTCTGGAGGTGGGAGGAGGGGGAGAGGAATAAAAAAGTGGTGCACAGGTGATTTGTAGAGCAGTGGAAATACTCTGTGTGAAACCATCATAGTAGATACGTATCATTATACGTTTGTCCAGACCCATAAAATGTACACAGAAAGTGAACCCTAATATAAACTATGGACTTTAAGTGATAACGCTACATCAGTGTAGGTCCATCAGTAGTAAAAAATGTACCTCTCTGGTGGGGACTTGAGAATAGGTAAGGCTGTGCATGTGGGGGCTGGGCTGGGTAGGAAGTGTATGGGAAATCTGTACCTTCTGCTCAATTTTGCTGTGAACCTAAAACTGCTCTAAAAAATTTGTCTTAAAAACAACAACAGAATACCTATATGTGTCCATGTAAGAATTATCTAAGTGTAAGGATAGTGAGGAATGTCTGGGTAGGACCCAGAGATGGAAAAACCAGATGTCTTTGCTCTACTGATATTCTCTCTTTCTTTTTTTTTTTTGGAGGAGGGGAAGTAATTAGGTTTATTTATTTATTTGTGTTTGGAGGAGGTACTGGGGATTGAATCCAGGACCTCAAGAATGCTAAGCATGCACTCTTGAGCTATACCCTCCTCCTCTCTGACTAGTTATTTGCCATGCAGGGTTTAGGAATTTCCTTTGACAAGTTTCATTTCTTGTAACTTTTCAGTAAGTCATGAGGATAAGGAGAGAAACTCAGTAATCTTCCTTTTATTTTTGAACACTTTTTTTTCTGATTACAAAGATAATTCCTACTCTTTTTGAAAAATTTGAAAATTATAGAGACACATAAAGAATAAAAACAAACTATAAGTCACCACTCAAAGATTAACTGCTACTAGCATTTTGTGGAAATTAGCATTTCCAGTCTTTTGGTGCACATATAAACTTTATTCAGAATTGGAAAGAGACTGTATATAACTTTCTCTGTTCTGTTAATAATAGTAAACATCCATGTTTATTAAATTAAACAATGAATTTAAATATTTCTTTACATGTTTTTCTATATCATCTGTAATGATTGCACAGGATCTGTGTCCAAACCCTAAGGATTTAACCAAATCCTTACTGTAATAATATTATATTAAATTTGTTTCTTGTTCTTTTTCCCATATTAGAAATCAGTACCTTTCTTATATATAAATCATTGCATTCAACTTTGATTGTTTCTTTAAAGTAAGTATCTATTCCTAACAGTCTAATTGCTGTGTCAATAGGCATGACCACTTAGAAGCTAAAGCCCTTCTCTAGGATGCAGGCTTAATGCTTCATTGCAGGCAACAGGTGAACCTGAGTTATAAGCTTGTCATCAAATCAGATGTGACTTATTAAGCAGCTACTACATGCCACTTTTATAAGTACAATCTTGTAAGTATATTAATTCCCATTTTATAAATTAGCAGTCTGAGGCTCAGAGAGGTTGAGGCTCAGGGTGCTGGTACAGAAACCGTACAATTAGGATTGAAACTCAACTCCATCTGGCTCTAGAATAATTCCCTTTCTGCTATACCGGGGATACACAGTTTGCTCACATTAGGGCACACTTAGAATGTGTCAATATCTGTGCGGTACACAGGGATAGACTGTAAGGGATTTAGAAGCATCTATATGAGATTTGTGGGGAAAATTCAAAGTGTTTTTTGTATTTTGGGATTTTATTAAAATAAAACGTGAATGTACAGTTCAGCGGGTTGGTTTTTTTTTTTTCTTAGTATTTTCACAGAACTCTACAAACATCACTACTAATTCTGGAACATTTTCATCATCCCAGAAGAAACCTCATACCCTTTAGTCATCACTTCCTGCTCCCTTACTCCCCATGACCTTGGTAACCACTAATTTACTTTCTGTAGATGGCTTTGCCTATTCTGGACATTTTATATAAATGAAATCTTACAATACATGATTTTTGTGTCTGGCTTCTTTATTTATCACAGTATTTTCAAGTTTCATCCATGTTGCGGCACCTATCAGTAATTCATTCCTTTTATGGCTGAATAATATTCCATTGAATGGACATATCACATTTTCTTTATCTATTTATCAGGTGATAGACATTGGGTTGTTTTCACTTCCTGTCTACTATGAATAATGCTGCTATAAACATTCATGTACAAGTCATTTTTGTGGATATATGCTCTCAATGCTCTTGGGTGTTATGTCTTAAACTCTTTCAGGAAATACCACACTGTTTTCCAAAGCAGTTGCACTATTTGGATCCCCCCTGCAATGGAATGAGGGTTCCAATTTCTCCACATTCATCTTGTTATTGCCTTTTGGATTATAGCCATCTTAGTGTGAAGAAGTATCTCATTGTCATTTTGTATTTTCCTGATGACTAATGATGTCAACCATCTTTTCATGTGCTTGGTGGCCAGTTGTGTATCTTCTTTGGGCAAATGTCCATTAAAAAAATTGGATCATGTTTTTATTATTGAGTTGTAAGAATTTATATACTCTAAATAGACATCCCTTATCTAGTACATGATTTGCAGATACCTCCCGTCATTCTGTAGGTTGTCTTCTCACTTTTATGATGGTGTCCTTTATAGCACCAAGTTTTAAATTTGGGTGGTCCAATGTTTCAGTTTTTCTTTTATCACTTGTGTCTTACTTGTCATAGCTAAGAAACATCCAAGGTCATGAGTATTCCTGTTTTCTTCCAAGCACTTAAGTACTTACATTTAGGTCTAGGATCCATTTTATTTTCCACTGGTTGAAAAGACTCTCTTTTCCCATTCAATTGTCTTGCCACTCTGGTCAAAAAAAAAAAAAAAAAATCTGGATTCTTCTATTCTATTCCCTTGGTCTGTCTAGTTCTTCTTTTTCTAGTTCCTTCCCATGATCTCCACTAGCCCTTCCTTCCAAAAACATACATTCTAAGTTTAAAAGAGTTATTGACAGACATCAAAAGAAGTTCCCTAGCCCCTGGGCTTACCTCCTTGCAGCCAAATTGCTGCCTCTGTAACAAAATTCTGAGGATGCTAGACTGGGCTAGACTAGGATTCTCTTGAAGTGCAAAGTTGTGTTTTGCGCATTAGTTTTCCAAGTCTAGTACCTTGGCAGTTTGTAGGAACTTAATGGTTAAAGGATATGTGTAAACAAGTCACATTGTATAACACAGGGAACTATATTCAGTATCTTGTAGTAATTTATGGTGAAAAAGAATATGAAAACAAATATACTTATGTTCTTGTATGACTGAAGTATTATACTGTACACCAGATATTGACACATTGTAAACTGACTATACTTCAATAAAAATAAAGAGCTAAAAAAGTAAAAATAAAAAAATAGAGGATATATGGATATGTGCATGGCTGAAAGAGTGACATAAAAATTTGGTGGCCTAATAACCGAGGTCCAATGAAGTTTTTGAGACCATCATTGTAAGGTTATGTACACTGGAGGAATAGACCGTCAGGGAAATCTATAATGAAAAGTTGATTGTCTAACTTACATCATCAGCTAATGTCTTTTGGACAGCTAGGAGACATCTTTTTTTAGGTGAGTCAAAATTGTACATATGACCTACTTCCTGTAGCTTCAAATATAGAAAATGCCCTTAGTTACACAAACAAGATGTTAATCTTTTAAGACAGTGTTGAGCTAAGATGTAGAATCTGGAGGTAAATATAACCACATAAATAATTTGCTGTTTTCTCTTTCCAGGACCATTATACTGAAATTACTATAACCAAAACTTTATTTGTGGTCCTTGATCACATGCATTAATTCCCTTAGGATCCAAGGATGGATGAGGGCTTCTTATGGTTCATGAAGTCCTAGCTGGAAATCTTGGTGTTTTGACTGCTAACACACTAATTGCAGGCAAGGGAAATATAGCAAATTTAAGGAGAAAAAGATGTAGGTAGTATAGAACCTTCCAATATTTAATTAATTGGCAAAAGACTTCTTCGCTAATTAAACCCTTAAACACCCATGAAAGTAGGTAGTGTTTTTGGTCTGGTGATAAGGCAACATGACTTAACCATTTCTTCACACTCACATTTAAAGATTTCTCAAGGAGACTATGAAATACAATGTGAACTTTATTACACTTGGACAGTCTTAAACACATTCGAGGCATTTAAAATATTTTCCATGCTTTTTAACAGTTTCTTTAAAAATTTTAACTAAGATTCAAACATTTCTACATACAAAAATGTTGCACATTTCTCTCACCAGATCTGGTTTTGTCCATTAAATCTCTATGGTATGGAAGCTGAATCCGGAAAGTTCAGCACTGACTTCCAGTGAAACATAACCCACATACTCGACCTCTTCACCCACAAAAGAATGTAATTTACTGCATAGATTTCCAGTACCCTTCCTGGCCGCTAAGTAGGTCATTACTGGCTCACGGCCCTCTCAGCCAACAGGTAAGGTGCCCCCCATACTTCCTAAGCCTTGGAAAGCTAGCACTCTGATTTGAACTTTTTCACTACAATACAGAATTGTTCCTAATTCCTCAACTTTGGCCTTCTACTGTCAAAAAACCAGCATTCTGCTCAAGAAACAAATAAATCTGCTCTTTTCAATATGGAGAACTACGAGAACTCAGGGGAAAACCAGAAGCACAATGGAACAAGGTAAACTTCTACATCATATTCAAGAGACTAAGCTATAAAGAACCACTTGGTTACAAAATCTCTCGTTGCCTGGAGGATGGGATTAAAAACCACACAGCTATCCCCAGAAAACCGTCACACAGAGCATAGACTGCATGACTCCGCAGGTGAGTTTGCCGGATGCAAAGCAGGAGACTTAAACCTTCACCTTTGAGTAAGTGAAGCCAGTCTCTCCCACACCTTCCCATAGAACCTAGTGTCTATGGAAGACCAACCAGCTAAGCTACATGCCTACAACACATTAAATGTAGCACACTCACTTTCAAAAGCCTAAAAGGACAGTGGGATTATTTCATATTTTAGGGGCTTTCACAATTTAGAAAGTTAATATTGAAATTTAATTTGTGCTGCTAAAAATCAAAACCTGCCTTACCAGAGAACTCCGTAAAGCTCTTATTCCTTTAGTCATTATGTTCGTGAACCACATGATCTTTCAAAATATGCCTTCCCCTGGCCTTTCCTGTGCTATAGTGAATACATCACTCACCACTAGAGATGTGCACCCCAGTTCAAATCCAGGAAAGGGTCGAGTGCCCAAAAAGTCATGTACTGCCTCTTTGATAATGACCCAAAGTTTCAGTCTACTCTCCCGAGCTTGCTACCCTACAGTGGTCACATAGACGTAAGTCCATATAGGGTGAGGAGTAATCTGGAGGAAGATGGAAAGGCTTATGGAAAATAAATTATTTTCTTGCCTCTAGCACGCAGGATTCAGTTCAGTGCCTCTATGAATGACTCCATGTTAATTTCCCTCAACAAATATATGCTAACCAGGTGACGTGCAACCTTGGCTGCTAACTACCATCAATTATTTTAACTTTGATTGCACAGCTTTCCCCAGGACCTACCAAGGTATACCATCTCGGTACGAGGGCCAAGAAACTGGAGTCGCTAAGTTCCATGGCTGATTTGCACGCAGCAAGCCCATCAGAGGCCTACAGACAAGCTTTGGAAATGTTTGCGCAGATTACTGTAATGCAGCCTACGTGAATGAATGGTTTAAAGCAGATAAGAAAAGGGTCGCATCGTAGGCATTCAAGTAAAACCCACAAGATACGGAATGCCAACAGTATACTGAGAAGCAGGTATTATACTTTAATAATAAAAAACACCACCAGAGAAACATTTTCTATTATATTAGCAAATACACAGAAGAGCAGTGAAATAAATGGATTTACTTCAAACTACTGGTTCTCACACCCATGAACATACATGAGAATTACTTGTGGACGTTTTAAAGAGTCTAGGCCTCACTCGGAGGCTGCAGTGGGGGTCAGGACCCAGGTATTTTTAAAAAGCTCTTTGGATAGCTCTGATGAGTTTCCTGCCGGTTGAGTCTCTGATTTTAGGTTAACTGGGGTACTTTGGATTTTTTTGGCCATTGTTTGGGGGTTTGGGGAGCTTTTTTTGCAGATTTGCTAGCAGTAGTGAAGAACTTGGCCTCTGGCTTTTTGGGAGTTTGTCTTGGGTCTTTCTTCCCCAGCGAAGAGTTTCTTTCTTTCTCCACCTCTTCTTTGATTTTTGCCTTCTTCCCTGTCCCTTTACCTGGGGTCTTGGGCTCCACAGCTGTCGGGGTCTCCAAAGCTGGGGAGGCCTTTCTCTTCTTCCCACGAGGTGTATTGGGACCAGGACTCTTCTTTGGAGACTTCTTTCCTGTGGCATGTTTTTGTATCTAAAGAAAAAGAAAAAAGTTAAGTCAGGGGACAAAGGGGAGAGGGGACAGGGCGACTGACAATGTAACTTCAAGATTCATTGTCCTCAGCATGACGAACGAGGAACAGCTTTTTTCCTTCTATCTTGCAAACATTTTGTAAGGTAGTTATATCCTATCATTCATGGCTATAAAAAGGACCACAACACCTTCTGTTCCAATCAGAGGAAAACCATCTTTCCCCATGGCTGGGGTTAAGGGCTCCTGGAAGAACACACTGGGAGCACAGCAGGGAGACCTGTGATCTAACCCTGACTATTCTTCACCTTCAGCTGTAAATTCCTTGCACATGGGTTAGGGCAGGGGGTTGGTTCCCAAAGTGTGTAAAAACCAATGGTAACTGTTAGAAAAATCCATTTCCCAGGATGTGAGTCACAGGTCCTTTGATGCGACTGTGCTCAAGGCTGGGAATTCTGGATTTTCCAAGCACTCTAGATGATATGGCTGATGATTTAGGTACGGGCTGTGCCCAGATGTGTCATGAGCCCCTTACACGGGTCTTGTTCATGGATGGTAGGGGAAGCCCTCTAGTCTTCTAGGGACCATTTCTTCCCTTATTTTCCAGAGGTCCCCTCCAATAGCTGGAAGGATACTATAAGTATGAATAAAAGCAGTATTAGAGAACCCCACAATAAAAACTCAGTTCCTTTACATCATCTCCCCTGAAACCCATGAAGTCAGATTTCTGTTAGGAACCATGCAAGGCAGGGTATTTGAAAGGTTTCAGATGAAGGATCCAGTATCCAAGTTTCCTCTGGCAAGTTTTCTGAGATGAAGTATGTGGTGACTCACCTTCAGAGACTGAACCTGCTTTTCAAAACCATAGGCAGGCAATGTTTCTTAAAATTATTTATCCAGCCGAGTCTCCCTTGATTCTAAGGTACACAAGAGGCCGTGCTGACTATACCCAACTCCCATACCTCAGAGGAGGGTAAAGTCAGTCGGGGTAACTAGCTCAGGGGTTCTTGGGGTTTACCCTAGTATTTTTCATCTATCTCTTCACAATCGTTGGTGGAACAGGTCTCACTAGAAAGAGACTTCTACAAATGACGACCCCCAGCTGCGAAGCACTTCCTGTCACTCAGCGGTGCCTGCCTGACACACAGGGGCCCGGAACCCGTCCATGATGAATAAAAACCATTAATGAAAATACCTCCACGTTTCCTGCAGCTGGAGTTTCCCTCACTGGTACCAGGAGTGGGATTTCCTCTTCAGATTCATCTTGTGCTTTGGGCTGGGCTCTTACTCCACTGGTCACCTTCTGGGGTCCAGGGTCCTGTGCTGGAGCACCACCAGTTTTGGGGGCCACTTCATCTGTAGTTGGGGCTGATGCAGCCTTCTCAGCCTGTTTCATACGTTTTTGTTTTCCTTTCTTCTCCCGTTGTTTTTTAAAATATTCTATCCTCTTTCGGCCTTTCTTCGCATCCTACCCAAAAAATTAAGCATAATTTTAGTAGGGGAAACTTTTTGTTGGTAAATAAATGGCAGAGACTTAGCACTTGCAGTCAGGTTATTCATAAGCTCCCTGAAAGGGCCTTGACCTGTACAAGACCCCAGTAAATGAACCCCGCCACCAGCACCTGAACCCCAACTCCAGTGTCTTGGAGTCACAGCCAAGGATGCATTTTATGGGGTAAATTATACTGAGAATCTGGGTATCTGCAGTATGCAGTCACAGGTTTTGTGGAGTCAAACTCATTTATAGGCCAGTCACAAGTAATCCGAAATTACATAATACGTGATGTGAATCAGCTGGTCTTCCACGTGTGCAGGTCCCACATCTGCAGATTCAACCAACCTCAAATCAAAAAATACTCAGGAAAAAAAGAACCCAAAAAGTTCCAAAAAGTAGAACTTGAATTTGCTGTACTCTGGCAACTCTTTACATAGCATTTACACTGTATTAGGTCTTACAAGTAATCTAAAGGTGGTTTAAAAGATGCGGAGGATATGCACAGCTAATGTGCAAATACTACACCCCTTTATATAAGGGCCTCGCAAATTTTGGCATCTGTGGGGGGAACCACACCGATAGAGATGGGTGACTGGACACCCCCATGAAACTGTCGCAAAAAACAAAAACAAAAAATCTGCTTTTTTTTATTCCTACCTCAGTTTGTGATTAAGAGTTAAAACAGTAACACGTTTACATAGCTAGAGGCCCATCACCCTCACCACACAGTACTGTTAAATAACATCTACAATGGCGTCCAAATTCCATCCTAACCAGCAATTCCAACATCTTCACAAAGCCCTCAACCGAATCTGCTGACAAATGGCAAAAAATTCAGACGTCCTGCTTCCAATTATAGCAGTCTTGTTATTCCGGATTCTCCTCCCAATGAAAACGAGTAAAAAAGTGGGGCAAAATATTAAATTTTTTTTTCATAAAAGCACTGACAAGCTGATTACACTATAAGCAATTTTTGCCCTGAGAGTATTTGCCTATGCCTAACTTTTAAGAGTTGTGTAAGAGTAGGAGCAGGAGGGCAGGGGTGCGGAGAGAAATCAAACCCCAGCGTCCACACCGGGCAGGGATTCTAAGAGAAAACCCCCTTCACAATAAGCTGGGACCCCAATGAGTCAGACCCTCAGGGTAGAGAGAAACAGGAGGCTGAGCCGTGAGGACTTATCACGATGGGTGGGTTTTTGTCATTCTGGGAACCTCAAGCCTTGAATGTGCTTTCAGTGAGTGCCCCGAGGTGTGTGGCCCTCATAAGTGTAAACCCTCTGGGGAAAAAAAGATCTTCATCCCGCCCATCAGATTAGCCTACAGATACCTTCCCAAATGGAATGACCACCACAAAGCCCAAGATAACCAAGCACACAAGGTACCATCAGGGAGAGACAAGCGGCTGCATCACCTATTATGTCAATTATCAGACAACAGAACAACGACACTTAACACGTTACAAGAATGAAGACAAACCGGAAGAATATTCATAGATAACAGGAAACCAACAAAGGTACAGTACAGCCAACTTGGAAAAGAACTAAACATGGAACTTACAAAAGAAAAAAAACAAAAAGAGCGTGTCTAAGAACTCACTGGACACAAGTACGTAGCTGGAGAAAGACTGAATAAACTAGGAGACTGGTCCAACTGAGAGCAAACAACTTCATTTTCTCTCCTGTGGCTCCTTCTGCAGTAGAACCAGGAGGACAGAAAACCTACCCAGCAAAACCAAGGGGTATCTGTCAGCCTCATACAATCTTAAAATCTGCCTATAAGTAAGCAAGGACTTAATAGATTAGATTGTGGTTTTCCTCTTCCTCTCAGCGACTCTCACCACCACACAGGCCCCTTCTGAGCCCCATCGGTCCTTCCGTTCTCTCTTCTCCGGCCGTGCTTACACCCGATTAAGCCTGTCCAGGGTCTGGATTTCTACTTACTTTCTTCTTCTGACTCAGTGTGCGCAGTCCTTTGGCTTCACACTGGCTGCTGACAAACGAAGAGAAGACAGGCAGGGACACCGATCTCTCGGTCTTCACGTACAAGAGCTTCACGCTCTCCCACTTCTGAAACAAGGAGAAGAGTGACATCAGCTGCACATGCTTTGTTCCTTTTAAACGAACGACTGGTTAAAGCATCTGCTAGACTGTACCTCCGGCAGTTTCTGTGAAAGCCTTTTTGTGACAGCAACGACATTTTCGACGATGTGCTGAACCTGCATTCCAGTGTGACCGATGCGTATGGTACTGAAATTTAATAAAGCATTAGACATAAAGATTTAAAAAAATTTTTTACGCTTTTCAAAATAAAGCAAAGGAAAGTATGTGAGAAAAACACACACAATCCTGAAAACATTTCAAGGTAGAAAAATTAAAATCTTTAGGTTCTCGATTTGAAAGGAAGATGATCATCTTTTATGTTCTAGAAATTCCGTCCTCCTGACATACGTCCTACTGAGGAGCTGGCGCCTAACCATGTGAGGGTGGGAGGGTCAGCGGCAGGGCCAAAGGGAGCTCTACCTTCATCCTAGAAAACACAGGTCACTGAGTCAGCCTGAGCGCAATTACCCCCAGGAGTGGCTGTTCTGAAACAGAACTACCCCCATGAGGACTGTAAAGGTCCACTGCCCTGAAGCAGCTGCCATCTCTAAGACAAATATGATAGTATGCAGTGTCTTCTGGCCAAAAGCAAGACCATCCCTTCAGCTGAGGCACAGTGCAGACACAAGCCAACAGGGAAGCCCAGAAGTGCCACTGCTCAGCTACTGGGTCTGCTGGTCCCTGCCAGTCCCCATCCTCCCTGCCATGGGAGCTGACAGGCAGGCCGGCTGTTGGTGAGGTGTCTGCAGAATGAGGAGGACATGGGCTGGTGCTTTCACCTGCCTCTAGCCAAAGGGGCTCTGCTCACTCTGTGTGCCCCCTGCCACCAACCTGCAAGTACACTCCGGGCTTCCCAGATAGAAGGATGGCAAGAATTGGGTGTTGTGGGGAGGAAGACAGAAAACTACCGTTGGGGAAAGATGGGAAAAGAGATGAAGGAATGGTTTAGACTCTGTATTGTTTCTTATTAGTTGTCCAGAATTTTTCTTAAGCTGTGGGTTTTGGCTTGGAAGAACTCCTGGGGCAAAAGACAGCTACTCCTTCACCCGCCTTCATGGTGCTGCCCCCTTTCCCAGCTGTTCACTGATTCCCATGAACCAGACCTCTGACCTTCCAGAGCCACCACATTAATGTCAGCCTATAATCAAAGGAGAGGGGTTTGGGTCCAGGCCTGACCATCAACTCTTCTCAGCTGCTTAATTACAACCAATCAGGGGGGTCCCTACCTGTTGGCAGAAGGCAACACCAGAGTCCACCAGTCTTGCCTCGCCATACCCTGCTCTGGCCTACCTGGAGACACTGCTGAGGAATGGCCTCTCTGGTGAGCAGAGTCAAGACATTTTGGTGGCCCTGTTTTATGATAGATGGGACCACTGGGTAGACATGGGCTCCTGGGGTCTCTCTGGGAGGAAGGGTTGCACCCTACAGCCCTGCCCTACGGACAGGTGCCCATCCCTACACCACAGACCACCCCCCTCCAGTCATCAGATTAAGTGTTTAATGAAATGCTTTTGAATATGCTTAAAACTCCCTTCCTCCCCACAAACTCAAACTTAACCTGCTTCTCAGCCTAAAAAAAAAAAAAAAAAAAAAGGCTGAGCCACACTGTCCACCTGGAAGCTGGAACGCACTCACTGCCCTAAAACGTCTTGGCTGGTATCTGGGGCTGGGTGTGGGGAGTCCACCCAGCTCAGCGTCCAGAGAAGAGAGAAGATCAATGCGATAACACAGACACTAGACAGGCTGATGGAACAGGAGGGACACGGAATTCATTAAACAAGAAGTTAGAGCAAGATTGAAGTGGACCTTTACTTTAAAGGATAATGTGGTGCCGGTCAACACAAATGCCCAGTACCACAAATGTTCTCTAAGCATCAGTCTTATTCTCCTGCTTTCCTGAGTCTAGAGGTGCCCTGTCCAACAGAGTCAACATTAGCTCTACCCACATGTGCATTTTTAAACTGAAAATAAGTTAAGATCAAGTAAAGTTCGAAATTCAGTTCCTCGGCTGCAGCAGCCACATGTGGCCAATTTTCCTGTGAGTCTGCACAGCTATAGACCATCTCCATTACTGTGGAAAGTTCTAGGATGCAGTACTGTTCTCGAGAACTGAATACTCCTAAAGAATGAATTTTAGTTTTAACAGAATGATCTGGTTTCATTAACACTATCTTACATAAAAAAAAAGTTTGTAAACTCATTATTAAATGTAAGATTAAACAAAGGCACACGTGAATGCCTTCTACTTACCTGCAAGAACCACTTTTAGAGATGTTTAAAACAGTTCCCCCGACACAGTCATTGATCTCTTTGGATAAATTCTTGGCCAGAAGGTTTACAGGCACTGGAACTCTAGAACGACACACAGGCATTTAGGGCAGCACACACACACCTACAAATTTCATGCTATTCAAGTCCTGTCGTTGCTGGGAAACTCACTTCTTTCTATTGTAGAAATGCTTCCCGAGGTGTGAGGGTAAGAGCCGTCTGATTCTAGCATCGGCAAGGAAGAAGTTGAAACTACTCAAGAGGCGCTGCTTGGCTTCATAAGCTTTATACTCCTTTTTTAAAGTTCGGAGGGGTATAATCTGGAAACCGTAAGAAAATGTAGAAACATGAATCTGTACACAAAACAGCAACAGACTCACAGATGTAGAAAACTTCTGGTTACCAGGGGGTGGGGGGAGGGACAAATTAGGAGTGTGGGATCAACAAACTCCTACATATAAAATAGATAAGCGATAAGGATGACAGCACAGGGAACTATAGCCAGTATCTTGTAATAACCTATAATGGAATAGAATCTCCAAAATAAACAAAAAACCCTGAATCACTATGCTGTACACTTGAAACCAACAATATTGTAAACCAACTATACTTCAATTTAAAAAAAAAGAAAGAAAAAAAAGTGTGAAAAGGTAACTTAAGAACCCAAACAATAACAAGAAACACTGGGACAATTTGTATCCAGATTTCAAAATGCGCTGGAGCCACAGTTGTCTGAACATGTGGCTGCCTGAAGCAGCATGGGCTCAAGGTTGAATGCTGGGGACTCAGGGGCAAGGGAGTCGGGACCCCTCCTGAGAGAAACTGGACCAACAGCTACAAAAAGCGCGAGAAGTGCCAAGCCAGAGGCAGACCTGGGACGCCCTGGAAGTAGAGAGGAGCACATAACAGAGCAACCTTCTGGAAAATCTTTTAAGGTACAGAAGTTACTGATGTAGATACTGAGCTTTTACGAAAATAAACCTCAACAGCTCATCCGTCACAGGGAAGGGGGAACTGCCCTACCTAAAGCCAATGAGAATTAAATGCAAAAGAGAAAAGTAAGTCTGAAATCAAACTCTTAAAAGAGAAATATGTACCAGGTGATATAAGAACGTATTACTTGTCACTTCAGTTGAAACTAATCTTTGAATTGCCTTGAAAATATTAACCTGCTCCCTACCTGAGAAATGGTTTTAATCTTATGCTTGTTCAAAAGCTTCTTATAAAAACGTTCTGTCTGTTCAGTAGTTAAATTCGGTTCGTCTTTGGTAAATAAACAGATATCTGCTAAATCTGATCGAATACAATGAGGCAAGGACCTGCAAAATACACGAGAAAAAAATGAGGAATAAAGCATTATAACTGATAACATATGTTTATATTCCGTAGAACACAATAAATTCAGTGTTGTTTCAATAAGCTTCATTCATGCTTTTTAAGTAAATATGCTACTGAGAACATTTATAAATATATCCAGTTTTTAGTAGCACACAGGAGAGAATTAAGATTCAAACACTAAATCATCACAAATATCTACAGGCCAAAAATATTTGGGATACAATCAGAGTTGAGATACAATCAAAGACACTCAAAACAGTGCACATTCTTATTTTATATGTTGCTATATATGCACATGTACCATAATGTTTCTTCAGAACTTTACTCTGCAAAACACCCCGGGGCTCCATAAACAACTTAACTCTTACTAGCTGAAACAGAGAACGGAGAAAACCAACAGGGACCAGCAAACATGCATCAAGTTGAGTCTCAAAGAGGAAAAAAGGATTCGCCCACTTTCTAGGCCTGTATGTTCCGAGGAAACATCTCCTCGGTTTAGGAAGACAGCAAGCCACAGAAGTATGACTTGGCAAAGGAGATGGAGGTGCTGCGGAGCTGGCTCACCAAGCAGTGAGCAGCTGGGAAAATATCCTGGAGAAGGTCAGAGGGCTTTCCAGAAGGGAAAAGTGCCTGGGCAGAGGTGTGCAATCAAGAAGACACACCAGATACATAAAGCAAAAACTAAGGCAATCGGGCTGCGCCAGTTTGTGAAGGTGAGTTAACAGAGAATCTGAAGGTCAAGAGGGTCTTTCCAATTTGTTAACATTCTTAACCCACACTCCCACTCCTTTTTCCTACGGGGAAAAGAAAAGAAAGAAGCTATCCCACACACTGCTTTCTATAGCAGAGCTGCTCTTCTGACACCCAAGAAATGAGAATTCCACAGAGAGGCAGGGTTGCCAGACAGAATACAAGACACCCAGTTAAATGTCAATCTTTTTTTTTTTAGTATAATTATGTCCCAAATATTACATGGGACCTACTTACCCTAAAAAATTGCTTGTATTTTTATTGCTAAGTCGGGCATCTCTGACATAAAGAATCCTAGCAGTAAGAATGTGTAACCACCATGGGTTTCTTTTCTACAAGGAGTTTGCTGCCAAGTTTTTTTTTAACAGTCTCTGTATAAAAGAGTGAGTTCAGAACCTCAGGAATTTTAGCTTGGAACTGGCTTGACATGCAAAGATAACATAATCTATGAAAATACAAAAGCTGCTTCATTTATTCTAAACTGTGTCCTCTCAAAAACCAGGTTTTCCAATTCAACAGAACTGCTCAGGTTAAACCAACCACCATATATCCAGAACACTGGTGAAAAGTTCTGGAAAATTTAAGCACGTCTTAATTCCTATGGGACTTTTTTAGATACAATTATTTCAACTCAGATACTTTGAATCTGCAAAGTTTCCACTAGAAACTAAGTTGCCAACTGTTAAAAGTACCACAGAATGCAGATAAAACCAGCAAAGACAGAAAACCCGAACTTACAATTTGACCCGCAGTTCTTTACTTGGAATCTTCCATAATATCACCATTAAAAAGAAATTTTCATTCTCATTCAAAAGCAATCCATTCGGGTTTTTCCTTGATCTGGAATGTGCCAAGAGAGCCTCTACTGCCTTTCTAACCTGCAAAGTGGAGATACTCAAGTAGTTAAATCACAACCGAATTCCCATAATTTACCCCTGCTCAAATTCTATTTTAGAAGGTAAGCTCCACAACCATATCCATCAGGATCCTGCAATTTGTAATCAGAGGAATGTAGACACCTCAGTATCGGCTAATAGCATCGTCTACAGAAAAGAGCCTCTTCTACGTAAGACATTGAGCAGATGGTAACACGATTCCCCTGCGCTCGACGTTGAAGGCAGTAATCCTCGTAAAAGCGCAGTACATCTGTATCTAGCATTTCCTGCGCGCTTATTAGGTGTCAGGCCCCTGGTCACCGCGCTTTACGTGCATCACCTCCTCTGACCCTGGAGAGCAGAGTAGAAGGCAGTAGAGCGCATCTAAACACGAAATAACTGAGCCTTGTAAAATCAAGCGACTGGTCAAAAGTCAAACGGCAAGGAAGCAAAGCCAGGTGGATCTCACCTTAGAGCCCCAAATTATACCTGCAATCCAACTCAACAGAGCCAGGGTGCAGGGCTGGGGGAAGCGGGCACCTACCCACGCGTATAAAGGAGCGGACGAGCGGAGGGCACCGCGAACCAACGACCCTCCCAAAGCTCCGGAGGCGTCTACTCAGGCGCGGAGCCCGCACTCGGCACCCCGCAACTCACAAGGCCACGGCCACCCAGCTTCCGAACTCTTCCCTAGGAGCCACACACCTGCTCTTCGTCCAGCTGTTCCAGTGCGGCCGGAGTCGCAGGAGTCGAGGCTGAAGTTGCGGTGGAGGCGGACGGTGGAGCCTGGGCCGAGGCCGAGTCCGCCATGTCTTCACCTCGTGCAGATGCGCGTGCAGATCCCGAGAGCTGGCTCCCCTTGCGCACGCGCGAACCTGGGCCCGTAGCCGGAAGCCGGGGGGCGCGGCCAGGCCCTTACGTCACATCCGGGAGCGCGGGGTCAAGCCCCGGGGCGTCGCGGCGTAAGGATTTGGCGGGCGCGAGCAAACTGAGTAGTACTTCTGCCAGAGGTCTGAGCCTTTTCCCGGACAGGACGCTTCTCCTTCCCTTCTGCTCCCAGTTTCCGTAAGGCTCTGGGAGCAGTCTGGCGCCACCTTGCCCCCACGGAAGAAATCCAGCGAGCGCCCGGGGGAGTGAGAGGAGGCCTGTCCGCCCACCTAGTGGGACCACCCGCTCTCCCTGGACCCAGACTCGGGGCAAGCGGCGTGGGGAGCGCGGGGAGTCCTGGCCCCACCACCCACCTGCCGGGTGACCTTGAGCTGCCCAGCCACAGACTCCTCCCCAACGAGGCTGGTGATAATTCCGTGGACTCGTGCACGGGAAACACCAGACGCGTAGTTAAGCGATGTGGAGGCCCGAACGATGAGCTGGAGCCAGTCTCCTGAGCTTCAGAGCTCACTGAGGCGGGAGGTAAGAGCATATACTTATAAGCATGTAGGCTGGAAAACAAGAAATTCTCCCTCCTTCCCTATTGCCTGAGAGGTGACCACTGTTACCTGTTTCTCCTGGAACCTTCCAGGGATGTTCTAGACATGTTAAGGAAATACTTAGACTTTTTTCTCTTTATGAAGAGTTGGGTTTCAATTTAATTTTTTTTTCTTTTCTTTTTCTTTAACACAGGTAGTCCCCTAGTATACCCGTTGTTCTCAGTGTTGTCCTTTCCTCATAATGTATCTTGGAGGTTGTCCAAGTCAGTGCTTTATTTATGCTCTGCCTCTTTTTTAATGGCCGTTTTGCTTTTCATCATGTAGATAAACAGTTTATTTAGGAGCTTTTTGATGAATATTCAGAATGGTCGTTTTTGCAGCTAGCTAGGGCAGATTTTGAGAGATGGAGTGGAAATTGGAGGCTTGAGCGTCAGTTGTTCTCAAAGAAATGCTCCTTCCATATTGCCAAAGCTGGAGGAACGGGTGTTTTGCTGCTGGTCTCTAATACTGACTTTGCCTTTAACCAAGAACTTGTAGACGTGTTCTTAAGTCTTTAGGACCTACTCCACTTGTCTGCTATGTGATGGAATTCGTTCTAGCACAGTGTTATGAACTGCTTCATGAGACTTCATGTATCAGTGTTTCCTAGTATTCTGAAAAGAGTCTTAGGCCTGTCAGATGTTGTGTCGCCTGAATTCAGGTTTGAGAATCAGACTTTCAGGCCAGGGGAACAGCATGAATTCAGGTGACAGAGGATGGTGATGAAGTTTAGAAGTACTAAGTGGCTGGAGAAGGAATGTGCAGAGGGGAGAAATGGGAGATGAGGCTAGAGTGGTAGGTTAAGGAATTATTATCAAGCTGAGGATTTATACTTCGGAGAAATCGTACAGTTACAAGGTTTTTGAACTGGTAGTAGGGAAGAAGAGGTAGTGATGGGTTATGTTTTAGGGAGGTTAATCTGGCTGTGGTATTGTAGTGGTTAAAGTAAGGTCATATACTCACAAATTCTTTGAAACTTAAGTGATAAAGTTTCATTCCCCTTGAGTGTGGGCTGGACTTAAGTGACTTCTAGCAAACAGAATAGAGCACAAGTGATGGGGTGTCACTTTAAAGATTAGGTTATAAAAAGACTATAGTTTCGACCTTGAGTGTTCTTTTCCCCTCTATCTCTCCCTCTCTCTTTTCTTTGTTAAAATTACTTGCTCTGAGTGAAGCCAGTTACCATGTCCTGAGATGACTCAGGCAACCTGCTAGCAGGTGAGCTTGAAAGTGGATCATCCCCCCAGTCGATCATTGAAATGACTGCAGACTTTTGAGAGATCCTGAGTCAGAACCATTAGCTGTTCTGCTTCCAGATTCCTGACCCACCCACAAAAACTGTGAGATAATAAATTTTATTTTAATCCACTAAATTTGGGGTCATTTGTTATCCAAAAGTAGGTCATAGAAATTTGTAGACCTCTCATCTTCAGACCCATCGACTGTGTTGATGTAGAAATCCTGTTTGGACCTCACACCCAAAATAAATTCCACCGTGAACTCATTATCAGCCCCTCAAACCTGCTCATCATATGATTTCGGTCTCATTGTTCATACCACCAACTAACTGCCTAGTTACCCAAGCTAGAATATGGGAGTCATCCTTAATTATTTCCTCCTTGTCCCCCAAATGTAGTCAATAACAAAGTCTTATTTATTCCTTTTAAATATCTCTTGCATTTATCCAGTCTTTTTTATCCCTTCTAACTTGTGATGCAAGCTATCATTATTTTTTTTCCCTGGACTATTGCAGCAGCCTCCTAAGTTGTCTTCCTACCTCTAGTTTTGCATCTTATAGTCCATTCTCTGCCTTTCAATGGGAGTCATTTTTGTAAAGTACAAATGTTATCCTATCAAACGATCAAGCTTAACCACCTTCATTGCATTATCATTGTCATTAGGATGAGGTACAGATTCCTTAATTTATCTTATATATATCCAAGTGTGCATCTGTTGTCTGGTATCCTATATCTGGTTCTGTGTTTGTCCTGGAAAAAAGTGTCCCAGTTTGAAAAATAAATTATATGGTCATCCTCAACACGTTAGGCATTCTTCATCTGCTCTCTCTCTTATTACCTCCTTAACTTCATACACTGCCACTCACCCCATTCAGTCTGTAGATCCTGGTTTCAACTCTGCAGTTTCCACTGTCTTCATATCTTACAGCATGCTGTATCAGACTTGAACAAAGATTGGATAAACAAGGAGGGAAATTCAGATTACTCCAAAATTCTGAATAACTGGACAAATGAGTGGTTTTGTTAATAGAACTTGGGAGAGCACGAGGAGCAATAGATTTGGAAAGAGAAAATATGAGATTCTTTTTCAGTATTTTGAGTGTGAAATTCCAGGGGTACATTTGTGTGGATCTGGAACTTGGAGGAGAAAGTTCCTGAACCAAAGAAGGAAATGTGGGAAGTCATGGAAGTGATGGTTAAAACTGTAGAAATAAATGAGATTGTAAAAAGAAGTATAGAGGAAGAATAGGGCTGTGGAGAAACCCTCAACTGGGGACAGGAGGAAAGAGCGCCTGCAAAAGAGAGAAATAGTTGAGGATGTAAAAGAAAACCAAGAGGGTGCTTAGGAATGGACATATGAGGATGTGTTAATACCATCAAGTACTGACGAACTTCTAAAAGGCCATTTATTGAGAAGTTAGGTCATGGTGACATTACAGAAAGCAACTACAGTGAAAAGATTATGAGGAATGTGTGTGATGGAAGAAAACGGAACATTTTAAACTTTTACCATTAAGGCTAATGAAATAAGTGAAAATACTTTTGTGTCCCAGAGAATTTTTTATATTGCCAATTCTCTTTAATCTCAAGGGTAATATATATAATAGCACTTGCTCATCTCTCCATGTAGCATCTATTGAATTACTTGTTAGCATTTTTGGTTTCCTCAAAGATTGAACCTCCATGGCCTTATCCTATTCACTTTCAATCCAGAGGGCCCAATTCATGTATAATGCTTACCACCAATCGGTTCACAACTTAACAGGGCAAAATAAGGTGTGCAAGGCAGGATGTGATAAATGGTATAAGATGCCACATGAACTCAGATTGCTTCAAAACTGAAAGAATAGCAATAGTAAGAGGAGTTCTCTAAAATTAGTGTTTCACCCTGCTGTGATAATTTAATAATTGTCCACTACTTTGTTTCCCCTATGTCCTAGATTGAGTTCTTTGCGGACCTGAACTGGGGTTGTTATCTTGGGTACACACAGGATCTGCCTGGCATGAGGTGAGCAGACGCTGAATCTGTGAATCCCTTCCTGCCTTCCTAAGGCTTTACTAACTTTCCTTCTCCTATTCTGTTATCTTCCTTTTCTCCTTCTCCAGTAGCTTCATGTGTGTTCTTAAGATATAGCGCCATGCTGCTTTTCCTTCCCCTACTCCAGCCTTTTTTTGGTCCTTTTGTAGTTAAGTGATTTAAAGTGCTTTCAAATTTCTCCTAACTCCTTAGTTTCACTTATACTAGTCCTGTTCCCTCTAACGTCAAGAGTGACCTTTTAATTCAGTCAAATTAAAAAAAAAAAATTCTCATTCTTGATCTACTGCATTTGAAACCACTCATGTTCAGTGAAATTTCAAGCAATTTTATCCTTTCTTAAATATCTATGCCTGCTATTTATTAAGACATGAGTTAGCCATTAGTGAGCACTAGTTTTAAATCTGAAATATACTGTTTTTTATCTATAGTTGCCATAATATGTTATACTGAGTGCATACTGAGGAGAATTTTGGCCTGATTTTTAACAAAAGGATCATATCACAAATAATAGTAATTAGAATACAGAAAGGATGCTTGTCAGCTACAGGATTTGTTTCCTTGTTTTACGTAATCCCTTATTTCTAGTAGAAAACAGGAAAATATTTCACGCAAGTAATTGGGTGCACGATGCCTTCAGCGAGAATTTAAGGGAAAGAGATATCACGATTACAAGAAAAATTGCACTTGTAAGATTAATATGTTGAATTTAGAGGACAGATTAAATATAAAGAATAAAAAAAGATGCCATGACAGTATATGATTTTTCAAATTCTTCATCTAGCTTCAAAATTGAAAATAGACAACCTTGTCACTAGAGGTAAAATAAAAATACTTCCTATAACCTGTTTTTTTCACATGGCCAGAGACTAGTTGATTTTTTATTTGTCCTTTTAAATTCAGAAAGAAAACTTTAAAATTTATTTCATTGTAATTTGGCTATCATTTATTCTAGATTGGGAGATACGTAGTTCTTCATTACAAAACTACAGCATCCAAGGTATTGATGCAATTTTTCTGCTTTAAGATGCACTGACAGAAAGAACTTGTGTATCTGAAACTGGCTCCATGTGCCATTCTCTACTGTCAGTGTTCTACACACTGCAGTACAGTGTCTGTGTGGTTTGATACCCAAACATGACATTGAGGACTACAGAGAAAACAGATAGACTACAGAGAAAACAGACACACTCAGGGTATGATACAATACAGGTAATAATAAACAGACAAATCCTTCAAAAGGGAAGATGACAATTTTTATTGTTATTACAAAAGCAAATTTTTTAAACTTCAGTCATTTGAATAATTCCAAGAGCAGACTAGGGGCTTAATTAATCCTCACACAGGCACCAAGTCAGGCACAGTAGGTAGCTACAAATCATAAGAGAGGTTTCTTTACCTTGGGTTCCCATAATTCCTACCTAGAGCATTCTGCCATGCTTTGGAATTAGGTTTAAAATCCAGCAAACCTAATCAGTTCCCTTTAATTCTGCTTTTAAAAAAATGAGAGCTAGGTATTAACCTGCTGTCTAGTGAAAACTAGTCACTAAATCCTGGCCTGAGAGAGATCCATGTTTCCTTTAGAACAAAGAGAAGAAAGTAGTTTAACAAAGAGATGGGTCAGTTTCTGAGAGCCCCATCTGAGTGCTTAAAATGCAGACCTACTGGGCTCAGACCTCAGTTTCAGCTAATGCATGTGGATGATCACCTGAGGAGTGCAGGAGCTCCAGCTCCAGCACAAACTCTCTTCCCGGGCAGCAGAAAGAGGTAGTAGGGACTTGGGCTGACATCTGAAGCACTGAGCTAATGTTGGCAGAGGGGAGCCTCAGGAAGCACAAAATGTCACTCTACCTTTGCTGTCCACAGACCTGAGGTTTCCACGTTAAGTTCTAAAGGGCAGTGGCATGTGTGACATGGCAGAAAAGACAACTACCATTCCAAAAGTCGCTTAAGAAATCCTGTCTAATTTTCTGCCTAATCAGACATGGTGCCTATCTGTTTCTCCTTTATTGTAGAGAACACTCCAACACTCCCACACCTTCAGGCCCTTATAACATTTCCTTAGTGAGCAACTCAGCTAGCACATTATTGTTTCAAGGAAGCATAGGATTAGAGGTATGTGAAAAGTATTTACTAAAGGGAAGACTCAATATGTCCTAGGATATGGAAACTCAAGAATATCCTAGAGCCAAAACCATCACAAGTTGAACCAGACCTACCCTATCTAAAATTCAGCAGTAAACTGGTTCAAATGGAATCCAAGACTACAGGAAAATAGAAACACTTCCTATTCCATTTACTATGAAATCTAATTTAACCAACTGACTGTTAAATTTAAATCTACTGTCTTTAAATTGTGCATGTGTAATTACATTTATTTATTTAACAAGTTGCTGCCATGGCAAGATCTCTAGATAAACAAACAAGATCATAAATGTATTAGATGGCATCTGCTAGAATCACTGAAAAATTAGCTGGAGGAAATATAAGCCATATTGTTTGGAGACAGAAAATGGTCCCCTAAATTCTGTTGATTGCTATCTACCTTACATAGGTCTGTGAGAGGATTAATGGCACAGTTTATTCTGTAAGATAGGTCAACACTGAACATTTAAAATCGTCCTATAAACAGAGCTATAGTGCTGCTACCAAATTTTCACAAAGGGTTTTTTAGAAGTTGAAAGTTGCCTGATGTTAAGAGCTGTAATAAAAACTGTCCCTCGTCTACCTTAAATCCCTACCCAAAGCAATGAAGCTGTCATCCATGAAGCAGCGGCCCAGGAGGGAGTCCATAGCAGTGAGGAAAGGTGCTAGAGTGCTGTCATGTGGAATAGCCATCCAAGACCATGGGGTAATTTCAGTCATAACTAATGTTTCTGAAGATTGCCAGGCAGTTTGGCTGATGTTTTTCAAAAGTTCTTCATGGAAGCAGGTTTTGACTTTAAGTTCACTTTTTGCTTAGGTTGCAAAACTGCTGCTGGTTGAAAGTATGACCCAGAATATCTGCAGCACTTGAGCTGAGGATGCCAGTAATGTTCACTTGCATCACATTTCAAAGTCCATCCCATATTGTAAAAGCAGTTCTTGCAGTTTATGTAACTAGCAGACAAGTATGAATTAGCTCTTGTTACAGTGAACAACTTGTATTCGTTTACAAAGTTTTTACATTCAGTTATCACATATTTCAAGATTTTCAATTCAAAACAAATATACATGGGTTTAATTATTCAAGAACACTTTACTATTTGTCACTTAATTTCATGGCATTCTATACTCAAGTCCAACTCTTCTGATTTGATTTTACAGATTCTCATTGGGTAAGTCTTATTTGCAAATTAAAAACAAGAAATAGATGCTATATTTTCTCCTCTCCCACACAGTTAGAAATAAGGGTTTAAATGGCAATTACTTAGATGTTTATTTCGATCTTTCTTAAATTCACTTCATTAATTTAAAAAAACTATAATTAAATAATCTAACATGAAAGCTGTATAAAGAACATTAATGTAAAAAGAAACAAAGAAAACTGTGATTCCAACATATCTATGCTAAAGATAAGAGAAAAAAACTTTAGGTCTATAATATCCTAATCTGCAGCCAATTACCCTATTTTTGCATTACAATCAACAATATAAACACACTTGCACTCTCAGAAGACAAAATGACAGCATAGGAATCTGTATTGCTTTTTAAAGGTCCCACGTCTCCATACACTACCAGTTAACTTCAGACATTTCATTTCCCCATCCAAGTAACTAGGCAGTGAACGAGGAGTTTAAAATGCGTCAGCTTTAAGTGAGCATTCTTCCCAGAGAACTTCAGAGCTCACAAAATGTATGGTATTGGTTAACTTACAGTGAGGTTTCTTCTAAATAATCTAATTATTTGCATAAATGTGCAAGAATCCATTGAAATTTTTATTTCATAATTACACTTATGTTTATTCTCTTTTATTTTTTAGAGGTAGGCCCTTCACAGTGGATATCCATGTTGTTTTACTTGAGTCTTGGCAACATGCACATAATATTCTAAAAGTGTAAATGTTTTAATGGCAGACATAACTGATTTTTAAAAATGGAAATCTATATCTGGAAATAATTTAAATGACTCTTGAGCTTTTAAAGATTAATTAAAATCCTAGCAATTGCTAGTCTTCTTATTAACTTGGAAGTACAAAGTGTTATTATGTAATGTTTAAAGCTCCTACATATCCCAGAAAAATAAAAGCCCAGAGACTTGCAGACTTAATAAAATTTATTTAGCTTTCATGCACTCTAATAGCCATGAGTATAGTTACGGGAAACTGCAGGACAGTAGCTATGCTCTGTCCATAAGATGTAGCCTCATTCATGAAATGAACAGGAAGTCTATAGTAACAAAACAGGATTAGATTAATTTTTATGTTTTGTGACTAGAAATAGTCTGCCTAGGCTTTTCTTTTTTGAGGTGGAAGATTACAGGGAAGGGACATGTCATTAAGTACACAATTAACAAAGTATCTTACTTAGAGAGATAAACCAGTCTAAAAGAGGCCAAGTCTTTGACAAATGGCAACACTCAAAATCAAGGGAGGTTCCAATAACCCAGAAGTTGTCCCTTCCAGTTCCCATTTATTCTTATTAAAAATTTCAAAGTCATTACAGTCACAGCTGAAAGTCAGCCTTCAATCTAAAAACCCCCAATGTTACATTGTGGTTCATCCAAATCATACTTTAGCCAATTTCAGCTTTGTATTTAAGAAAACAGTCAATTTTAAGTAATTGAGAAAAACTTATACTGTGCTTGATTCTACTTAATCAGTTAACTTTAGTCTGTGCAGATTCTGATGGTTCTAAATATGTGTCCATTTAATTGCTGGATGAGATTTAGCTTTAACCAGCAAGGATTATCCAACCTTTAAAATTAATGATAAAAATAGTAAACCAAGTAATTTGTAGAACCGGCACTTGCAGTTGATACGGTTTTCATACTAGATGCATGCAGCTCTTATAAATACTAAAGGAGGCATTTTTGCCAGATCTCAACATGCTTTCTTTATTGTAAATTCCACTAATTTAACAAGTTTATGTAATTTTTTGTAGGGGTACAATTTTATTATGCTTTATACTTATAAAAACTACAGTATGCTGTTCTTGTATTTTGAAACCACTTACTGTGTTTAATAAATCATGTTAAAATATAAATTGACAGAAAATAACTGATAGACCTAATAAAGCAGTGTCACAGCTGCATAAAGATCCTGTATAGTATGCATTACACCCAGCAAAAGAAGTGGTCAAACTAATTCTTTCTTTTAATACAAACTTGAGCATTGCTTGTAAATGCCTCATTTAAAGTAGTGGATAGGGAAAGAGTTTAGAAAAGTCCAAGTAATAAAACATACTCAATTACTTGGTAAAGTTAAAAAGCTAATGTGACAATGTTACATCCAGATAAAAAACATTATTTCAAAGCAATTCAAATACCGAAAAGAGTTTCAAATTGAATATTTTATTAACATGGTAGTTGTCTTTGTAACATGTGCACACACACTCGCACACTCAGAATCATCTGCCTGGGGAGAAAAAGGCTTAAGTATGCCTAAAGGAAAATGAAAAATAAAAAAAATTTCTGGTAGGTTTTCATTATTGTAGGCAATTATGTCCACATCACTTAGAAAGCTATTGCCAAATCTGTCCAAGGAAGCAGAGTTTGAGAGGGGAAGAAAAAAATCTTGGGAAAAAAATTCAACAGTGTGGCATAGCAGAGCTCTCAATATGAGAAAGCTGACATAATGTGGACTTTCACTGTGAATTTTGTCTTTGCAAAATATGGGGAGAGGTTTGTCAGTGGGCAGAAAATAAAAGAAGGTGGTGTGAAGTAGGCTTTTGCAGTCAAATTTCCTCACAGTATTGTGCAGGGTCATCAAGAAAATGTTTAGTCTTTCTCTGGAACCAGTTTCAGAACTTTTCCAATTGCAATGGTCTTACCTAGAAATGAAATTTTAAAAATACCTTTTCAGTAGTTAACAGCAAGGCTATGTAAGATATTAAAACATTATTTTAAATCATTATTTAAAAATGTAAGCTACTAATTTACTGGCTTTACCATTAAAGGCATCATTTCCAATTAGGCAGTCTTAAGTGGGAGGGAGCTGAAAAGATACGATTTTCTTTAACAAAAACCCATACTTAGACAAGTAGAATGTGGCTATCCATACAATAGAATACTATTTGGCAATAAAAAGAAATGAATTATATACAATACATGCAACTACATGTTTGAACCTCAAAAATATGCTGAGTGTAATAAACTAGACACTAAATGCCACAAAGTATATAATTCTGTTTTATATGGCATATCCAAAAAAGGCAAACAGAAAAAGTAGATTTGTAGTTGCCTAGGGCTAGGGGCAGGAATAGAAGGTGACTTTGTGGTTTTAGGGTTCCCTTTTAGATATCCTAAATGTTATAAAATTAAAATGTAGCGATGACTGTACACCTCTGTGAACATACTAAAATTCCTTCAACTGTACACAGGTCAATTTCATAGTACATAAATTATCTCAATAAAAGCTGTTAAAAAAATGCTTTCAAGTCCTAAGAGATACAAAACCCATTAATAATGACTTTAAATAGATACCATCTTTATACAGATTTCTCTGAAATTAGGCTCAGGGACCACATTCATCATATTCCCAGTGCTTAGCACAGCTCCTGACATTCAGTAGATACACAGTGACATTTCTGCTGAATGGAACTGGAATATGTGAATTGACCATTTATATTTCAACTGAACCATAAAGTTTTACGTAAAGTCTTCCGTAGTCTTAAAATAGTTATCTAAGCTAACAATCCTAGAGAAATGTTTAATAAAAGTCATTTGGTTTCCATGGTATCAAAATATTTGATGGCTGTGAGACAGAAAAATTATAGCTATTCTAGTTCACTCAGGTAGGCAAAAACGGACACAAACACACACACACACAAAACATGAATATTAAGCCTTTGAAAATACCTATGTACCCTTTTTATCTCCCCATTTCACTGTGGTTAATGTTAGTCATATTTCATTTTAAAATGATTTCTTCTGAGCACAAAAGTGATGTTTACCTCAGAGGCTTGCTTGGCAAAACTTGATGTACAGGTAAGCCCTTCAAGATGAGCTTTAATTACACATATTACAAAGGATTTCGTTACAGAAATGTCTTATTTAGTAAATAAAATGATTCTCAAAACCCACTGCTTGCAAAATATCAAAATTAAGATTCTTTATCTAGAGCATTACTACTAAAATGTATGATCAGTTCTGTCTCTGTTGTTCAATCCATTCAACTCATAAAATTTATTATATGAATATAGAACTTATATCCAAGTTTTCTATGAACTTGTAATGTACACTATACTCAGATGAAGATTACCAAAGCTAGTAAGCATCTTAGATATACTGCTAGACATCAATTTAAAAGCTTACCCTCATCTCTTAAGGTAAAACGACCCATCTGAGGGAAGTCTTTAAAGGTCTCAAGGCAGATGGTTCCTGCTGTCCTTAAGCGAGCAATGCATACTTGATCTTGTTTCACAAAACGGGGTCGAGTCTTACTTTTTTCTCCTGATTTTTTGTCTACCAAGCAGATTAAGGCCTATCCAAGAAAAAGGATGAGATCAGAATAATGCCAAATAAAAGAATCTTTAAGAATAGAAGTGTAAATAAGAATACATCACTGTTGCTGGTCAGAAATTATCAAGGTGTAATGACCTTAAAACACGCAAACAAAAATTCCAATTATCTTAAAACTCACTGTTATTTCGACTTCTTCAATACAGGTATGGATATGCAGCACCGCATTATAACCTGGGCAGATGATGGATTTGTGCTCTATAATCACTATCTGTCAAACAAAAAAATTCACATCTTTATCCCTAGGTAAAAAATAATCAAATGTGTAACTCATGATCTTAGTAGGGTACCAACTTAAAGTTATTTTTGTGTTAGAGGTGACAGGTCAGGTCGCCTCACCTCTAAGCATGAACTCTGATATCCTTACCCTAAAGATCTTCTTGGTGAGCACCCAAACTTTAAAAACACAGGCAGACTGTCTTCTCCGGGAAGCCTTTCCTCTATACTCCCCACCAAGGAATTAAGTTAATCATTGCTGTTAACATGCTAGTTTTTTTTCTCCTAAATATGACTTACAGTTTTATCCATTTCCCAATATCCAAGGGCCAAAATTAACAACCTTGTATCTGGAATCAAAATCTAAACTGATCAGTCATATCTTGTAACAGAACTCAAAAACTCTGTGAGCTATACCAATCATTTACTCTGTCATTCTCCTGGGCAGATCAGGTTGCTAATAACATGGAGAAATTAATTGTGTTTTTCTGTCTGGAAAGTTATTTGCTCTGAGTAAGCAGACAAACCATGACTTCCAAGGCAACTAGGTTCTGTTCTACTTAAGGTGAAAGACACTTTGGGCAAAATGTAAGTATTAATATATATTTATCAACAGGAAATAATAAAAGGGAACTTAAAAAAATACTACCTACCAAGTACCTGTACCATCTTAAAGACCATATGTGTATAAGATATATACATCACAGCTCTTGTGATCTATATATATGGTTTATTTCAATTCCCCTCTGCACACAATGGCCTGTCACTAATCAGCAGGACACAAGGCATTTAAATTCTAGTTTCATTTAGACAGTAAAGATCACCATGACAACTACAATAACTTGTTTACCTGGGCATCAAATGTGCGACCAGAATGACAAAGATTATTAGGATCACAAAGTATGAATCCTGGAAGAATCTCCTCCTCTTCAATTCCTTTCAGTCTGATTTTGAGGTTTTCACCTGGGGCTACAGAATCAGTTTCTACATCATCGGAAAGGATTCCAAGAACTTCCACATTGTGCTTAAAAAGAAACCAAGATTGGAGGCTTTCTGACACATTCACTACACTACAGAACAGAAAATGATCTGTTTGCTGTAGACTTGCAGGTCACATTTTTCTGTGGATGTTGATTAATGAAAATATTTCTTCGAATATAAAACCTTATTACATTTGTATGACACGAACTTAATAAAATCACATCCTTTAAGTCCAAACTGTCAGTTAAAAGATTAATTTGTCATCTTCTTAATATCACATCCTAACAATTTCCAAATAGAACAAGTATAAACTAGCATTTGCTTTTTTTTTAAGCCTTTTCAAAATTAAAACATTAAATCTAACATTTGGATTTTTATTTTATGGATGTAATTATTATTAAATTCCAGGAGTTAACAGACATAGCTTTCATTACCTGTCAATCCCCAAACATCCAAAGAGTGTACTTCTCTAAGTTATTTAAACAATTAAGCTTTAAAAGCATACTGACCTTAACAGGTACAGGGTTTCCTTTTGGGATGATAAAAATGTTCTGGAACTAGATAGTGGTGATGGCTGCACATATGAATGTACTAAATGTCACTAATGGTAAAATTTACCTGTCTTTTGCCACAATTTTTTTTTTAAAGAGCATATAGATGGGAAAGAAAGTGTTAAAAACAATACCCACAAGTATTCCCTTATTTTTCTCCATTTCTGCCCTTGGAGATAATTCATATTTTTAAAACACATGGCAGAAAACAAAACAAAACATAACAGCCTTCAAGACAAAATGAACTTTCTCATGATGGCAAATAAACGGTGGAGAATCCAGAATCATTATATTTCATACCAGAATTCTGTAAACTGTCACTTGCTAAACTTTTAATAGTACCCCACCTCCACCCACATACACATACACAAGTAATGGCTTTCTTTCCCAAAAGGAAGCTAGCTCCACCTATTGATACCTGTCCATTGAAATTCATTCCAAGAACTGACAGAAACTACAGCTGTACTTGTTAGCTAAATTCTTTACAGTAAGGGGATAAACTAGCAGTTCCACCGTATGTAATATTGTTTACTACTTTTTGCCCAAATAATATAGCGTAACAATTTCTCTCCCCAAATACGGACTTTTATAGCTAAACACAATATAGCAAGTCTAATCTCTAGTCCATCCATATGCAAAATTAAGATTAAGACCAACAAATTCTTAAGTTTGTGAAGGATTCAAGGATTTTGCCTACTATAAGTATACTACTACTCACATAAGTGAAATCATACATTATTTATGTTTTTGTGACTGGCTTACTTCACTTAGTATAATGCCCTCAAGGTTCATAAAACATGTTGTAGCATATGTTAGAATTTCCTTCTTTTTTAAGCTGAATAATACTGTGTTGTATGTATACACATTTTGTTTTCCCATATTCATCCATCAATGGACACTATAGGTTGCTTCCATGTTTTGGCTTTTGTGAATAATGCTGCTATAAATATTGGTTCTTCAAGGTCTACTGTCAATTCTTTGAGGTGCATACCCAGATGTGGAACTGTTGGATAATTCTGGTTTTAATTTTTTTGAGGAAATGCCAGTATATTTTGTATAGAAACTACACAATTTTACATTCCTGCCAACAGTCCACAAAGGTTCCAATTTCTCCACATCCTTGCCAGCATTTGTTATTTTCTGTTTTGTTTTTTGATAGTAGCCACCCGGGAGTGTATGTGTGAGGTTATTTCACTGCAATTTTGACTTTTATTTCCCTAATGACTAGTGATGTTGAGCATCTTTTCATGTATTTTTTGGCCATTTGTACATCTTCTTTGGAGAAATGTCTATTTAAGTCCTTTGCTCATTTTTAAGTCAGATGGTTTCTTTCTGTTGTTGTTGAGTTGTAGGAATTCTTGATATAATATGGGTATTAGCCCCTTATCAGATTTATGATATACAATTAATTACCCCCATCATGTAGGTTGCCTACTTCTTAATTTTTTAATGTAAAATAGCCTGGCGTCTATGTCTTTTAAAATATTTAATTCTACTCCACTGAGACTCGGGGAGACTAAAGTGAACTGAGTTTTTCCAGCTTGATTAAAAACTGTAGGATTACCGCTTAGTAATGAGTATGAAGTGACAGCTTCCCCGGAGCACTAGTATAGCAAGGCCCCTTGCCTACAGCTGTAGCCCAGCACTAAGTTCGCTTGCCCACAGTAAGCTGTACTTTTCTTTCTACTACAATAAAATACTCATAGAATTTACCTCCTTTAACCATTTTACATTGTACAATGCAGTGGAACCTAGTACATTCACAGTATCGTACAACCATCACCAGTATCTGTTTCCAAAACATCTTCATCACTCCAAAAGGAAACAATACCCATTAAGCAGTCACTCTTCATTTTTCTTCCCCCAGCCCCCTGCAACAACCAATCTGCCTTCCATCTCCACAAGCAAACTTGACTTCTGAGACTGCTCTGTAGACAGAATATAGCAAGGATTCAAACTGACCATTATTTTCATTCATCATTGACCTTCAGGTTGCAGAGATAATTACCTTAGAAAAAAGATACTATGTATAACTGAAAAATTGTGCTCTACACTGGAATTTGACATAACATTGTAAAATGACTATAACTCAATAAAAAAATGTTAAAAAAATACTATGATAGGATATTCTGGTCTCCAATGCATAGGGCATCAAGAAACCCCAAAGTGTAATTTGCAAGGTTACAATTACACCTGAACAGTACATTGACAATGGATACCTTTTCTAATTCACTGTGCCTGGAATAAGCATGGTAAAGAAATTCTCAGTTAAATTTAACAAAAATCTCTGTTTGGAGGTTCTGATGATTCAGGCCTATTTTCCTACGTAAACAACATCTATGGAGTTGTTAGAGAGGTCCTCTCTGGAAAACAGGTAAGTTTCTTAGTAACGTGTCATCTGCAATTATCAGCAATTGAGCAGTCAGAAATAACACAAAGGAATAATAGTTCATGGAGATTTTGCATATTATTTAATGAAACCCTCTCCAATAATGAAGAAATTACAATAAGGTAGAAAGTTAAGAAAAGACCCATTTATGATAAATGTAACTCCTCAAATTAGGAGCATTAGTTGATCACATTATTTTATAGTATCCAATGTAACTACGTAAAAAAATAAAAGAAAGCTAATTATATCATGATTAAACTCAAGTTTTCATCGACCTGGGCAGTGATGCATCTTTTAACTCTAATATGGTGCTAATACTGTCCCTCCTCCATTTGTCAATGAATAACACTACATATTTTTTTATTAAATTTTGTACTTGACATCAATAGAACATAATCCTGGATTTTAAAAATTAAGTTTCTTTTAATGGATATTCCTAAGATTTTGAAAAGTTCTGGCTGCTTGATAATATTTTCAAGAGAAAATCTAAATGAGAAAGAGCATTACTAATTCTTACCTTGTTTGGCATCATCACAAGCTGCTGGCCTTTACAAATAGATCCTGATTCCAGCTTTCCCAGGACCACAGTGCCCATATCCTATTTAAATTAAAAAAAAAAAATCAAGTTTCAGATTTTCATTACTACTCTATAGCAGTTCAGCAACCCAAAGTGAAATCTTGCAGGGCTTATTCATAAAAGAAATCTTTAGCTCAAATGGTAGAATGCTTAGGATTAATCTTAAACACAGGTAACAATCACTATAATATCTGTGTCATAAGCATTATGTGTAATTATGATACTAATAAATAAGTATGACTCAGATTAAAAAAGAAAGCATGGTGCAGGAGACTGTAAAATTTTGTTTGAAGATCTCAATTTGTTCACATTCAGGTTCTTTGAAAAATCTCTAAGTCTTTTCCCTCTTGTGTAAAATTGAAAAAATGCTTGTTCAAGAAATTTATCATGGAGCTAGTGAAAGAATGAGGTATTTGAGAAGGGCAAAATATTACATATTGATATTGCAGTAACTTTAAAAATGAAGTTGAAAATCTAGTTAAAAATACTGAAGCTTTTTTTTTTAAAGACTAACATTCAGTGTTGGTGAGGCTATGGTAAAACCAGCACTCATATACTGCTGGCAGTAATATAAGTTAGCACAGTATTTTGGAAGGCCATTTGTCAGTGTCCATCATTTTAACGTACAAATCCTTTGAGTCCAACAGTTTTACTTGTATGAGTTTCTAAAATATGATCATTGGCTCACTGGAAAACAGTTGAAATAAACTACTGATTAAATTATGGCCTGTCTAATACCACTGAACAATATATAACCATTAAAAAAAGAGATACCTATGTTATGTGAATTATTAAAGTTGTTTCATAATTTAAAACAAAACACAAAATAATTTATCACCTCCCATTAAACCCAATTTTTTAAACATTTTGGGTACCTTGTACTTATCCACAATTGGCAGCCTGATTGGTCCATCAACTGATCTGTTGAAGTTTGGCAAATTATCCAGATATGGAATAAATGGTAATCCACTGAGAACATAACAATATCCATTAAAGGGAGTCAATATAAATGTCAAAATTTTAATCAGTTATATGACTATAACTTTATACAAAAATGTGGTTATAACAATATTTTCATTCCCATATACTCTTCTCATTCAACCAATTTATTATCCAGTTCATCTTATTCCTCAGAAAATAAAAAAAAAGCTCAGTATAATAAAAAGCTTCCCTATAAACTTAAGATTCAGAAAAATATTTTGTAGCAAATAGCCCACATGTTGTAATAAAATTACTCCACTCTATTACTTAATTTTTATGGAGTTTCCCAGCTCTGCAATCAGACTATTATAAAATTACAGTATATGAATTTAAAACTTTAAAACTACAGTATATGGATTGGGAGGCTTAATATTGCCAAGAGAGCAATGCTCCCCCCAAATTGATCTACAGATTCAATGCAATCCCTATTAAAATCTCAGATGCCTATTTGCAGAAATTGCAAGCTGATCCTAATGTTCATATGGAATTTCAATGGACCCAGAATAGCCAAAAACAATCTTGAGAAAAAAAACAAACAAAATTTAAAGACTCACACTTCCCAGTTTAAACACTCACAAAGCAACAGTAAAAAAGATTTCACTTATAAAAAAATTAATCCAAAATGAAACACATACCTAAATCTTAGAGCCAAAACTATAACAAGCTTAGAAGCAAGTAACCAGATTAGGTAATGTGTTCCTAGGTATGACACCAAAAGCACAATTAAGAGAAAAAGTAAATAAACTAGACCTCATCAGAATTAAAAACTTTTCTGCTTCAAAGGATACCATCAAGAAAGTATTAAGATAGCCCACAGAATGGGAGAAAATATTTGCACATCATATATCTGATAAGGGACTTGTATCCATATCCAGTGCATAAAGAATTATAACTGAATAACAAAATGACAATCCAATTAAAAAATGAGTAAAGGACATGGTATTTTTAATGCCAAGGTTACAGTCAATATTTTCTCACAAACTTTTTTCAAAAGAAAGAAAAGGTTACTTACATGTACCAAGGACAGAAATCTGATTGCTCTTTAAGATTTGCTCCAGTCAGTCCTGAGCAGGGCATGAAGTGAATGTCCTTTTTGGGATTGAAGCCAACTTTTTTCAAAAATGGCACTAGTTTCTCTTTACATTCTTCATATCTATTAATATTTATAAATAACTCAATTATAATGTAAAGCAACTGAACTCAAGTTTCATCATTAAACAAATGAAGGTTTAGAAAAACCCCAGGGGGGGAAAAGCATACAGTAACAAAACCATCCTTTATTGCACTAATATGTCTATAAAAAAACAGTAAGACATCCAAAGTTTACCTCTCGTTGCTCCAATTTACTGTTGGATCATCCATCTTATTAATAAGCACAATTAAGTGTTTTACGCCTGCTGTCTTTGCCAACATTGCATGTTCTCTTGTCTGTCCTCCTTTTTCAAATCCAGTTTCAAACTCTCCTTTCCTGGCAGAGATTACCTATTCCAAGAAATCAAAGTTTATTCTTATACATTCAGGTACACTCTTCTAGCAATAAAACATCTTTCTTTTCAGTTTTATCAGAAGCTTCTTGCAAGAAAGTAGAAGTAACTGAGTTACAACATACATACTTTTTGAACATCACAATGTCTAAATGGCTTAAGGTTCTGGTAAATGTTTCTTCAGAATCCCAATTTTCCAAAATCTAGTATGCCTTTATATTTTACAATTTAAACATGTATTTGATTTAGTTCTAATACACTGACCACACACACACACACAAATTGCAAAATGACTAAAGGCCTTAAAACACATCATTTCTTATTACTCATTTTTGTACCTACAGTACATTTATTGGGTACAAAATGGGTAGGCCTGGCATTCAGTGAACACTAACTTCTGACACAGTTACTAGATAATAGCAATGGTAGAGAAAAGCTAAAATATTTTCATGACTAAATCAAATTACAAAGATTTCGAAAATTGTGACTGTGTATATTACAGTTCCCTGTAACCTAAATTCTAGCTTTTAGAAGGTAAATTCAAATATTTAAATTTCATATTGGGCTGCTAACAAATAACACAGATGAACTGGAAATATCTTTCTTACCAGTACAGCCAAATCAGCTTGAGAAGCACCACCAATCATATTTGGGACAAAACTCTTGTGGCCAGGGGCATCTAGAATTGTAAAATGCTTCTTTTCTGTTTCAAAATAGGCACGACCCACTTCTACTGTTTTACCCTTGTCTCGCTCTTCCTGATTTGTGTCTAAGGCCCAAGACAAGTACCTAAAATAATTTTAAAATAAGAATAATACTGGTAAGAACATGAAAGTTTTAAAAATATTCTTCAACCATTAAAGGTATAATTGATGCCATCCAGCTTTATGTCCCACATACAACATTTAAATCATGAACAGGACTGGGTACAAATGAAAATTAAATGACTAAAACTTGTATTATTGTGATTCAAATGCTTGGCTCTTTTACATATATCCAGTGTCATAATTATATATTCTATAAGCAAACATTATTTATAACAAGCTGACAATATAAAGGAACTTATTACTTATCTCATGGTGATATTGGCATTGGTACTAAGTTCCTTAATATTTCATTTTTATAATCATCTAGCACAAAGTATAATACAAATCACGGCTATCTAAAGGTATTTCTCAAAAGTGAAGACCACTAACCTGCTACGTGGGAGCAATGGTTACTTGCTAAAAATTATTTCAGTATTTCTTTGCCATAGAAAAATTACTTACATAAGTTCAAACCATCCATAATAGCAGGTGTTAATTTAGATTACCTCATCATCTGTATTACAAAGTAACCTATTTTTTAGTATTATATTGTGTAGGCTTTCTTCCCCCTTATAACAGAATACAATTAAAAAAAAAGACCATCAATGTCCTATTTAGATAAAGCTTGTTAAACTCAAAAACAAAAACAAAAAAAATAAGGTTAGAAAGAATGAAAAAGTTGACCCTTTCACCAAGCAAAGGCAACCACTGTTGATAATTTCATCTATTTTCTTTCAAGTTTTATTCACATAGTTAATGATCATATCCTATGTATTATTATGTTACCTGCTTTCTCCTCAAATTCCACTATGACATCAGTTCTATTCCTGGTTACTGTAAGTTCTACAAATGAAATTTTAGTGGTCAGGTAATAACTCAAATAAATGGATGTTTTATAATTTATTCAACAAGTCCCTTGTTATTATCCTGGATGTTCAGATGTTTCCAGATTTTTTTCTGTTAAGTTATGATGCCACCAGGAACTGATCTACTGGGTCATATTAGAAGGGAAACTTTTCCTTTGTTATGACACCATTTTTAGACCTCATGAACTTATATCTTAGTAGACCTCAAAAGCATTAAGCAGAGTTTTCTTGAAAGTAATTTATAGTGTCATAAAAGTTTACCAAGTTTCTCTGTTTTTTTCTTTAGCTTCTCTTTCATATTTCTCAAGCGTCCTTTTGTCAACCATTCCAGTCAAATACCTGAAAACATTTCAAGAAAAGAGAAACAAACATTTAATTACTCACAAATTATTCAGCTGTGAAGCTAAAACCTTTAAAGCTCTTGAGAAGAATTTCAATTCTATAAAACACCTACTTTAAAGTAAAGGCACCACTGTGGTAGATGCTGAAATCATGGAAAGTTTCAGTGAAAAAGATATTTACAGTCTCAAATTAACTCTCCCAAGATAAAGGGGAACAAAAAAGTACCTTTTCAGTGGAGAATTCTAGCAAACACCAAGTAATCATGGCTAATACCACCAGTAATAAATAAAACACTGAATATCGCTATCATGTGTGCCCTGATAGAATGCTATGATAAAACAACATATCTCCCGTGATATTCTTGTCCAAAATGCATAACCTCAATCTAATTGTTAACAACATCAGTCAACCCCAAATTGAAGAACATACCATAAAATAACTGAATAGCACTCTTCAAATTATAAAAGTCATGAAAGACAAGACTGAAGAAGTGTCACAAGTTGGAAGAGATTAAGGAGATGTAACAACTAAATGCAATGTGGAATTCTAGAACAGAAAAACAACACTAATGGAAAAACTGGTTAAATTCAAATAAGATCTCTAATAGTATTGCACCAGTGTTAACTCCCTAGTTGTGATGACTGTACTATGGTTATTTAATGTTAACATTAGGGTAGGCTGAATATAAGTTATATGACAACGGTGTACAGTTTTTGCAACCTTTCTGTAAATCTGTTATTTCAGAATACAAGTTTTTTTTTAAAAAGCAAATGTAAGTACTATATAAAAGAAAATAATTCCAACAGTGTTGTCTAAGCAATTAAGTCTTACTAATATATTTCAATATTTAATATTTAAAAACTATTAGTCAAAGTGAGATTATAATTTTTAAAATAATTCCTTAGTAATACCTAACTGCTTCCTTTGACTCAATCCAAATCCTGTTCCCCTTTCCTCTCTGTACATTCTCTGTAGAGTCATCTACAGCGCATACTTCTAACCACTCTGACTGTAGAATCTTAGTGAAATGCCAATGAAAATTGCAGCCCATAAGCAAAAAATATACACTCTCCTAAAATAACAACATATGGGCCTGTCACTTCCTTCCAGAGCCTTAGTTAATGATTCATGTGTAATAGGGTCTGTTGTGGAAATTTTCAGAATTGGCAAAATACTGATTAAAATTACTCAACAAGGCAAGACAATGAAGATATGCCCTCTAGATCTGCTGATGATGTAACTTAAAGAAATGGGTCTAATTTAGGAAGGATTAAAAAGACATTTTAATTAAAATTTTTTTCAATTCTAGAACATATCACTAAAAGCCAACCATGGTATTTTCATACATAGTTACCTTCTATATATGACAAAAAATTATTCAGCACATTAGCCAGACTACCTGTCTTTGATTAAATCCACAAAAATTTAAGGAGTCAATGAATGAGGAAAAACCAGTTCTCTCAGATTCATTATTCCCCAGAAAATTATATTTAAAGCAGACTAAGATTCTTATAATCTAGGGTTCTATATTAGTTTTTATTAACAAATCTAAAAGACAGCTTTTAGAAATACATTTAATTAATGTTCCATGAGTCTTACAGTGATAACAAAAGATATTTAACAAAAAAACAGACTTACATTATTTGTCCTCCAATGGTTGACTTGCCAGCATCTAAAAGTAACAATATCAACAATGTGCAAACCATAGGTATTAAAGACAAACAAACAAAAAACCCCCCAAAAACCAACCCAAAACATAGTCACTTTATACACAAACACAACTAAAGGTCCATTTAACATATATAATTACAGCTCGCAAAAGCAACTGCAATGACAGGAATCTGGGTCATAAGCTCTGGGTAGTTATCATCCCCTTGGGAAGTGAGGCTAAGACTCTCTGCAGCGCAGCAGTGACTCAGAGCTACTTTAACTGGTGAAAAAGGAAAGAATTTTTGTAAACAGATTGCTCCCTGAGCTTCTGCAGCAGCAATAGAATATAAACTACCCAAGGAGAGCCTCAACAGAGAGCAAAAGTAGCCAAAGACCTGTGAACTACATTTAGGTAGTCTTTTTCGCTTTTAGCCAATACAGGTGTTCCTTTACAAATTTTGAAGGAGTTCATGCTACTAAAAACGTAGAACGGTTGTATCAAATTCAGGGGAAAGCAGACAGCAGATAAAGAGAAGAAAGGGGGACATATAACTCTTTATTTTCTTCTACCAATTTTTGGCATAAGTCAGATTGTCAAGAGAATATATGAGTAAATTAAATAGGGTTTTGTGTGCTAAGCCAGCAACACGGTAACATCCAGAAGCTACTCCAAATTAATTTCTTACACACAAAATTTCACTACCTAGTAAAGTTAATACCATAAAATCAACTGAAGTTCACACAAAAATATAGGTGCATTTTCTAGGATATTAATTAACAGATACCAAAATCTACTGAATCATCATCAGCAGTCTACAGACCAGTTGTGCATTTCATATAAATATAAGGAAACTTATTTTCTTCCAGCTTCCACGCTGGAAGTGTTGGCAATTTTGGGCCAGCTAAGAAATCTACTGAGTTAAAAATGAAAACATTTTAGATTAATCCAGTACAGTTTAACTAAACATCTCCAAGTAGCTAAATAAAATGTTCTGTGTTTGATATACCTAATAACTCCGGTCATTTCTTACCATTGCTTATGAGTGCAACTTACCTACATGTCCGATAAACACTACATTTACATGTTCTTTCTTAGGAGCACCTGGCGGTGCAACCACAGATTTAGGTTTTGGTATTTCCTCTTCCTCCTCCATCATCTCCTGGGCACTTTCCTCTGTGGGCCTTCCATCTCCCAAGGAACCAACCCCTGGCTCTGCTTCACTTATTTCTTCTTTGTGCTCCCATGATTCTTCTGGGGACATTTCTGTCTCCCCGTTTTCTACTGAAATAAGACATTTTAGCTTAGTGATCTGAAAAAGGTTTATCATCTGTACACACATGCTTTCAAACAAGAAACAGACCTTTGCATAATCAGTTCCATTTCCTAACGTCTAGTGGCACAAAAGCAAGAGAACAGAAATGGACAAGCTGACCTCATTGCTGACATCAGAGCTCTGACTCAGACACTATGAGAGATTGCTATTTTAATGAAGCTTCAGCTTGAAAGGACAAACAAAACACATGAACAGGAGATCTAATATTCTTAACAGTTCCAGTTATTCCAGCATCAAGATGTCCTGATAGTGGAAAAAAGGGAAAGTTCAACATCAGAATACTAAAAGTGTGAAAAGATTTAAAAGATCTTTTCTTTCTCCTCTGCAAGTAATGTAACTTTGTCATCAACTTTATTAATCACCTTGGAAATATGAAACCCTTAAGGGTAAGAAAGTTACAAAGGAAGTTTTTCTCAAGGTAAACGGATCAAGTACAACTATTCAAACTGACTTTAGCATTTCTCTACTCACTGCTTTTGCCATCACATTTATCATGGCAGTGTTAATGTCCAATTAGATTTGCTTTCTAAATCCTAATAGCAAAGACTCCATGTCAGTTTTAAATGTAGGTATTATAATAATCGTAACACTTACATTTGCACTTTTTATCTCGAGAGTGAAAGAGTTTCATATTACTGTATTAATATGGTCAGAAAATTTCTTACCAACAGGTTCTGAAAGTTCCATGCTAACAGCTGAATTTGAACCTAGACAAGAAATTGAGATATAATATATATTTACAAAATAGTACCTAGTACTAGTACCATAGAGAACTTAATGTTTTCTCATTAGATATTCAAAGAGTCCCATCATGAAAATTACCTTCACACAATGACTGTTCCTCTTGAGATGGTTCCACAGATGCTGTTTAATAGAAATAAGTTCTATTAAAAACTGAGACCTATACATCCATTTTACTCATCTTCTAAAATACCATAAAAATAGAAGTTCAATAACAAAACAAAAACCTCTATAATTCAGACCAATGGCAACTAATTCAGGCTTTCAAACTACAAGTCTATTTAACCCACTAAAAATATCTACCAATTACAGCCAATTTAAAAACATTTTCAGTAACTGAAATGTAGTCACAAAAGCACACTTATTCTCTAAATTTGCTTCATAAGCTTTTCCTTTACAGATATTATAAGAGTAATCTGCAGCCCAGCACAGATCAAATTAGTAAGATTTTGCTTGACAAATACACATTCCTTCTCCTGATTCTCTCAGTAGCTCTAGCCCAAGAATGCAGTAAGTCCAAGATTCTATAATCATACATGTTATCATCAAGATCCTTGAAAAAATTCTATTTGATACCAATAAAGTAGAAAGGACATTCATATAAAGTATCTGAAATGCATACAGGCCCTTACATCATCTCAGAAAAAGTAATTACAATAATGCCAATTTTGTCCTATATTAGAATTCTAAGGTCAAGCAACAATCCAGTTTCCACAACTGTCACACTGTAAATCTTATGACATCACTGAAGAGATATATGAGAAATATATACTGATACTCCAGTATGTAAGTTTATTTTTTACATCTGATAAACCTAAATGATACTCCAACATGTAAGTACTTTTGCTTTAAAAATCTACAAGATGCAAAAAGACATCAAAGAATCGTGCACACCAAGTAATAAAGAATAGTGAATTCATAACCTGCAAAAAAACTCGTATTTAAAATCAGTGCCCAGAAAGCATTAACGTCCACAAGTCAACAAAAAGTTCTGGGCCCAATCTTCAATAACATGAAATGTTGAAGAAAGTAATTCCTGACCCTGAAAGGTAAGGGGCAACTTTTTTTTTTTTTTTGAGGAAAGAAGTGACAGTGCCAAGTGTCACTTAGGAAGATCATTCTATGGCAGTATATGGATGAGCCAGAGAGGTAAAGACACTAAAAAGCAGAAAGACCAACATCACTACTTACAAGAAAGTATGCTATCAGGACAAAGGAGCAGTACGACCAGAGAGGAGTGGTTAAATGCAAAGATAAAGGAGGCGATGTCTGATAGGAGTAGGGAGAAAGGAAGAGTGAAATGTCTAAGATGATTCCATGTGGTTAGGGTATTAAAAGAAACTGGGGGGGGGGGATCCTTTGAATTAGCTTTGGAAGGTAACAGGAATTGTGTACTTATGGGTGCATAATGCAAAATCTGTTCATGGTTTTATTTTTCAAAACATCTTACTTTTATAGTATGTTTGTCTTAAGTTTATAAAGTTGACAGAGATAGAATCAAGTACCAAAAGCAATTAAGTGCTTAATATACATCTAATGATGATATTATTAAAGGGCCTCAAAATACGAAGTTGACCAGTTTCCCCATGGCAGAAAAAACTTTCCATGCATTCAGACCGTGGGTGACATTATGAATTTAATGGCAATGCTAGCAGCATATGCAAACTGATGTGTTTGGAATAATGAACCAGAAAAATCACAGATATAGCAAGATGTTCCTTTAATTTAAGCTTCTCAGTATAGTTGTACCCAGGCTTCAAACACACACACACACAAACACGCGTGCGTGCGTGCGCGCAAACCCTTCTTGTTCATTCTACCCTGGTCTTATTTGTATACACATCACATCCAGGTTTTACTGGCTACTATTGATCCTGGGCTTAGGATTCTACTAGGCCTAGTCATTTGTTCATGGTTAGCAAACAGATGACCATTAGTGCTTGATTTCTCAAGTCCTGCAGGGTTCACATCTGCTAGTGAAAGAGAAGTAAACCTCCCAAGGAATGAAATTACGGTTTCATATTTTCTACTGATATCTCTATGTTCAGAAACACACCCCTATCAGTACTCAGAGGAATAATTTTAATTAAGTAGGAAAGTTATCAGAGTATACAAGTGAATAAAACTACCATACCCTAAATTAAAAGGAGAAACTAATACTGTAGTTTTGGATAAAGAAAGATTAATGAACTGGTTGTAATACCAGGTATATTACCACAGTTTTTAAAACAAGAAGTGAAAAGATTTTACCAGAAGACAGTCAGGCAATAGTACAGCCTGTGTTTTAACACAGATGATAATCTGGGTCCTAAAACTGCTAGTTAAATTTGATCACGGTGAAATAAGCCAGACACAAAAGGCCACATGTTATACCATTCCACTTACATGAAATATTCAGAGGCAGAAGGCAGAACTGGCGGTTGACAGAAGCTAGAAGGAAAATGGGAATGGGAAGTAACTGCTTAATGGATACAGGTTTCCTTTTGGGGTGATGAAAATGTTTTGGAACTAGACAGAGGTGACAGTTTTACAACACCATGAATGCACTAAATGCCAATGAAATGTTCACTTTAAAATAGTTTATTTTATGTTATACAGATTTCAGCTCAATTAAAAAAACTTTTTAAAAATTTTTTAAAGATTTGATCATGGGTCAAAGGACTTCAACATGGAGATTCCTATTTTGCCAGTTCAGTACAGCACAAGTTAGTCAATACCATATATGTGGCAGGTAACGAAAGCCAGGTTCTAATTCAAGCAACATGTTTTAAACACAAATGTACAACCAGTTCTGAAAAGCCCTTAATCCATGTATTTCATAAATCACCAATTTAAATTTGCACTGCTTTAGACATCAGACTAATCTCTAATCCTCTTTAGATTAGAGAAATTTAAAATAGCTATCCCAACTGAAGTATCTTACTCCCGTCAGCTAAATGGTATGTTCATTAAAGAAAAAATATAAAAACAGCTTCAGTGCTGTCACAGAAGTCACAAGTGTCCTACACTGCATGGAAGTGAGAAAAAGGGTGATAATTCTGTCCAATCCAAGTTTCTGCAATGATGGAAATGTTCTATATCTCTGCTGTGATGAGAGTCACTAACCACATGTGGCTAATAAGCACTTGAAACATAGATACTGTGACCAAGGAACTGAGTTTTAGATTTTATTTAATTTCAAAATTAAAGAGCCACATTTGTACAGTTGTAGCTCCTCTTAAGGATTCTCCTCAATTGCCTTACCTAATGTTCCACTTCTGTCCCACTCCCCATCCACCCTGCCATCCCGAGGGGCTAATGAGCTCTCTTCTGAAATCCCCTAGGATATGACCCTTCTTTCAGTTCTAGATATACCCACACACATAGTTTAGTTTGTGTTCCCTAGGAGATTATGGACTTCCAGAATGACTCTGGTTTTCTGAAACATGGAGACTTTTTTCTCTACTCTTGTAGTCTCCACAGGTTGGTACAGCGTACTGTATAGAATAAATACACAGTTAATTTTTACTGAATTAACTCCAGCAGTTTTCATTTCCACTAGGGTTTAACAGAGTAAAAACCATTTTATATGTGTCAATTTTCTAAGAAGGGGGTTAGAGAAACAATATTCAAGAGATGTTGAAGTACAGCTTGAGGAAAGAACTAAAAATTCTCTAGCCACACAGGTGACCATATAATCTCACCAAAATTGCAGACTGGGGTATTTTTCTCCTACAGAAAACACTGGAAAATATTAGTGCAGTATAGTAAAGGCAGACATCAGAAAGAAGAGCCCATAAAATACGTACAGGTGTCCATGGTTTTGCCTTAATTACCTAACACTCTAAAAATAAAAAGGCACAATGTTACAGTGGTGAACAGAGCTGTTTAACATATTTTACATTATCATTTCCTAAAATGCATAAAGTAGTTTCAAAATATTAGAGCATTGCCTACTTAAGACACTGTCACCCAGCTACTACTGAGAAAGAACACGAAGACAGTGCCACAGTGGGCCCACTTTCTGAAAAAATGTCTCAGCCAAAAAGTTTCAATATCCAATCACAAGGAAAGGACTAGTGGAGTTACTGTTACTAGAGTAAGCTTTGAAACCAGCCCTAGAATCCTAACTCCTTCATTTATTCATGGGTGCCATCTCACCTATTTATTTAGCTTCTCTGAACCTTAATCTTCTTATCTGTATAATAGGTCAACAGTACCTATACCTCAAGAGGTTGTTGTGAAGATAAGGGCATCCATGATGGTTGTAGTAATTAGCTCTACGCATGGCCTCCCCCCACCCCATTATTAATTAAGCAGCATGGTGTGTGGCAGAACACTAAATTTAGCAGTGGGCAAATTTGGATTCTAGACTCAACTGTGTCCTTAAATCTGCAAGTGACCTTAGGCATTCACTCAGCATCTCTAGGCTTCAGTTTCTTCATCTGAAAATGATGAGACTGTATTATATTCTAAGAATCTATTTTCTCAGTCACTAAAGCAATGCACATATGAACCTGATTAGACTTTTTTGTAGAGTAACTAAAATTCCACTCTATTTTTCAAACAACCATAAAAGATAGCCTTATTTATGATTTATAACCTAGCTACTGCAAAACCAGTGAAGTGTATACATACATAAACCAAAATACATAACCAAATACATAAACCAAAATGGTTTCAGACACCCCAGTAAGGTACAAAGATAACAGAAAAACACCTATGTGCAACCAAAACTACCCAAAGGCAATAGACACAGACTGCTTAGTAGTATAGTAACCCACTGGAGTTCTATAGAAATAGTCAACCAGGAAATTGCCCCAATGACATTCTAAGCTACACTCTTTTAAAAAAAAACTGAGGCATAGTTGATGTACAATATTATGTAAGTTTCAGGTGTGCAACTTAGTGATTCACAGTTTTTAAAAGTTATACTCCATTTATAATTATTATAAAATATTGGCTGTGTTCCCTGTGTTGTACAATATATCTTTATAGTTTTTTTACTTTATACAAAGTAGTTTGCTAAGGTATGCACTTTTTGTTTCAAGTGAAGTAACATACAATTACCTAGTCAGAATGTGGTTTGGAATTTGCTGTGACCACTCTTAGGCTAGGCTAAAGATGCTCAAAAAATCCTTGCCAAGTGTTTCTCTCACCAACAAAGTAGAATATGATGGAGAACTAGTTTAATTTGGAGTACTGTTAACGACTAGTCATTTATGAACAAAATCAACTACATCTATAGACCAGCCATGCTTTGTTAAAATCTAATGAAAACAAGAACACAACTTTTAAGCAGCTTTGGTGTGACTCAACAATTGACAGCTAAAAAGAAGTCTTGAGAACCTCAAAACAACTAAAAACCTTCAACTAGTAGCCAAATTCTTGCTTTTCAAAAATTTTTAAGAATTGTGAATAGAATGATGAAATTCTAAATTAATATGCCCAAGAGACAGCCAGAATTGCAGTTAACTCATTGCTGTTTGACATGAAAGAAAACAAGTCTCTACCTACAAGTACTGTAAAAAGATAACTGATGCTCTATTCTAACAAATTTCTAGCAAACTTAAGTACAGAAACACAATGGTGAATTTCACATATTAATGATAAGAAAACACCCCAAACTTACGGTATTCACAAAGAACACTTAGTAGAAAACAGACCTTTAGTTTTCTGATTAGGGCGACAAGATTGAAATTACTTATATAAGGGTACCTATGACCAGTTCTCAGCTTTGAAGCCCTGGACACCCTCTATATGGCCCTCTTACCACCAAGAATCTTCCATTGGGTACCTGGTCCCTTTCTAGACTCCTTGAGAATCAGTTATTTACCTTGGTGATGTCACTTCAAGTGCCTAGCACAGTATCCTGCGCCGCTGCAGGCAGCAAATGTCCGTTCACTAACAGCTACACACATACCTGAGCAAAACCAGAAACTCACATCCCGAAAAGTTCCATTCTAATACTAACTCACCCCAAAAGATGATCAAAACTTTTTTCATTAATTTCTCTCCAACCAAAAGAAACACTACTTTAATACTTTAAGACATTTCCTCCCCAGCAAATAAAGGCAAGCAAAACAAGGCTTATAATCTGTCCTCTACAATATTTCCCTAATTTGCCCTGATATGGTTTTTAACTGTTGTCTTTTCATGCAGTATAATTCCAGGAAAGGTGAAAAATAAACAAAGGACAAAAGAATGCAAAAAGCATTAAATAAAAGTTGCTCTAAAGAGGGTTTATTCTCAATCAAAATTTCCAACAGTTTAAACAGCTGCTCAACATGACGTAGCACTAGCGATGCCCTCGCTTGTTCCCTATTTTCTCACACTTGAGCCACTGCTACATGTAAACCATGAAACAAGAAGAGCCAAAGTCCAGTGATCTCTAAAATCAATAAGTCAAGGTAGGAAAAGAAATAACACCCCAGGAACAATACTTTCCCTGATCTCCTTAGCCCATTTGTCCCATCTGAAAAATCCATTCTGTTAGAATTGTTACTGTAGGCATTTCAGGAAAAGAAACCATATCTATCATATATCTAAACTTATCTATTAGCTAACTGGTATTCTTTAACATAAAAATAAAGTATAAGAGCCCCTCAGGACAAAACAACTATTTCTTTGATTCTGGATCTTCTCTACTCTGGTGGCCCTGAAAATGTCACCTTTGGGAAAATTTTATGATTAACAAGCATCCATCAAGTAGTGATGGTTGCATAACTTTGTGAACATACTAAAAAACCACTGAACTTTTAAAAGGTGAATTTTATGGTATGTGAATCATACCAATCATTAAAAAAAAAGTCCCTTTCCCACAAGGCATTCAGCAAAACCCAAACACTACAAAACAGAACACTTCTCTTTAAAATTCAAGTTCCACAACATAATTTGCTATATTTTGGAGATAATTCCCCAAGGACTTACTGAGGACTGCCAGTTTTATTCTATACTCATTTTATAATGACAAGAGTTTTGAGAGGCATTGAGGGTGGGATGATAGAAAGAACACTATGAACACTACATTATTACTTTAGAAGCTTTGGCTGTGTCTGAAAGTCCAAGTTCTACGTCCTGAATGTTTTGTGTCCCTTGCAAAATTCCTGTGTTGAAATCCTAATGCCCAAAGTGATGGTATGAGGTGGGGCCTTTGGGAGGCCTTAGGTCATGAGGGTGGAGCCCACATGAATGGGATTAGTGCCTTTATAAAAGAGGCCCCAGACAGCTCTCTTGTCCCCTCAGCCATGTGAAGACACAGAAAGCAGTCAGTCAGCAGCCAGCTATCCAGAAGAGGAAAGAGAGCCCTCATGCCACCAGGCTGGCACCGTGATCTCCTGAACCGTGAGCAGTAAGTACAGTTCTGTTAGTGAGCTGCCACATCTATAGTGTTTTGTTATGGCTGCCCAAACAGACAACGACATGAAGTAACCCAGATTAACACTGCTGAAACATTAACAATTAAAAGAGACTGAACTAGGTGCAAATTGGAATTTAAATAAGTACATGCTAGGGGAAGGATAAAACTCAGTGGTAGAGCACATGCCTAGCATGCACGAGGTCCTGGGTTCAATCTCCATTAATATAAATAAATAAATAAATCTAATTACCCTCAAAATTTTTTAAAAAATAAAGTACATTCTAACATAGAAATGTTTGTTCTAGTACACACAACCTTTGTCTATATTTTCATGCATTTCAGGGACTCTATTTTAAAAGACCATCATTTAGCCAATTTACTTGGATCTGTAGAGAATTGTACTTAAATAAATTATACTTAATTACATTTAAATGGGTTCTACTTAATCATTTCTTTGGAAACCTAAATTAAAAATTTTCAAAGAGATGCAAGGTCAACACTGAATCCCAAGTTCTAACTTGGGGTAGCTGGAAATACGCATTAATCAGCAGCCTGCCAGTGAAGGTGAATAACTCTCTTCTGCACAAAAGCGTTTTCCTCTACTGGTTTCTCAAAGCACCACTGAAATTATTCCCCAACCTAGCCACCTCAACAAAAAGGAAGGAAAAGAGAAGACTCGCCTTCTTTCAGGAGAAAGATATTCATCCTAGACAGACACACATTTTAAGTCATTCTAGTGCTCTACCTCTAAACCCCTTCAAGAGTTCTCCTGGTAACTAGTTTAAAAACACACCCACAGGAGGGGGGGCAGGAATAGCTCAGGAGTAGAGTATATGCTTAGCATGCACAGTCTTGGGTTCAGTCTCCAGTACGTCCATTAACCAAGAAAAAAAAACAACAACACAAAAACACCCATCAATTTAAGCTATGGCTTAATAGCAAAAGAAAACATGCTAGCCCTACAATCTATTTCCTCACTATAAAAAAACTTGCAAACATTATGGTTTCTTCTTTGTAAATTTCAATCTAAATGCTATTTCCAGTTTTTTCCCTGTTTCTTCCAAGCATAATTCTCTGCTCTGATGGTGGTAACTTATGGACCTGAATGGGTTGGAACATGCAACCCAACAGTGCCACGTAGTTCTGAACCTCAATTAGAAAGTCTATTCTTTTCCAAATAGGCATCCTACAGACGACAGGTTGGTTGGTTGGTTTTTAAACATTAACTGGCATTTTGTAGAGGCATTTGATAGAGTCAGTAACCAAAATGAGTCTCTGGTAAAAAAAAAAAAGAAAGAAAGAAAGAAAAAATTGACCACAACGTAGGGACCACAATGTAGGGACAACTGCTTCCCTACACATTTTTACATCTCCAACTTCTAACACTGTCACAGAGGAAAGGATTAAGAGTAAAACTGCAAATTGGCAAATATCAGGAAGAGAAAAGACAGTTCTCCTGTGAAAGAGGCAATGACTAGTCACTCAACAATGACCACCATTCCAGACCACTGCTCAAAGGATGGCTGTCCCTTGATGACTGGCTGATGATGGAGTCCTTGGTCTAATCAGAGTGGTATTGGTGACTCCAGAGTTAGGAGGGAGGGCCAAAAAAGAAAATGGCTGGATAAAAACAGTCTGTATAAGGTTTGGGGGCAAAAGGCACTTTTAGGAGCTAGTAAGAGAACTAGTTTACACCAGCCCAAATGACTTGATCTAAGAGAAGAATTAAAAGGCTAAAATTTCTTGTTCAAAGGGCATATATATCAACCACTCATATAAATAAAAGAAATACCAGTCAATAAAACAACCAAATCCAAACTGCTCACATACATACTTCCCAAGAAAATTTCCCCAAACTCTCTCTTTGCCTCTACAGAGAAAACTGTAGCCAAAGTTCCTGAAGAAACTAAACTCCTAGAGCACTTTTATGATGTCTACCTAAGAAATACAACATAGCACTTTAAAGAAATCAAGCTCACTCATTTGAGATTTCTACAAAATCAGTACCTGAAAGCATGCTATCACTTAAGCAGCTCCTAAATACATTTAAGATTTTAGAAGAATAACCTTAACTTGAAACCACAGAAAGTCTTCTAAGCTAGCTATGATCAAAATGGCACGTGACAACTATTAAGTTATAACAAATGCTCGTGTCTGAATAGACTAATTTCTGACACATGAACGTAGAGTGAGTTATACCAAGCAACCTGAGTAAGATAAACGACTTTACCGCAATAAAAATTCTAAACGTGTCACCAACTAAGGAGAAAAGTCCAAGTCTCACTTAAGAAAAAGGGCACACATATCAATGTAGTTTCATACACACTTTAATGTTAAGTGAGGAATTCCAACTTTATGAACTTCATAAGCTTTCAAATTACTACCGGTAAAAAAGATCTTTGTATTGATAGCCAACAGTTTCTGCCCGATCACACGACTGCAATGCATCCTGGGATTCTTTCAGGACACTTCGGTGCCGTAGATATTTAAAACGCACAGTTTCAATATTAGAAACTGCAGCAAGAGACGCTCTCTCGCCAAAGCCTAAGGTAAAGGGAAAAGTCGAATATTCACGTCCCCAACTCCTCAGTTCCCTCAACACCCACCCGACTGACTGCTGGCTCCGTCTGTCCTCACTTCTAGGCCTCGTGGCACTGACCCGCGGCGGCCCGCCTCTCCGTCCCATATGGTTCCCACTTCCAACGGGGAACTGCGGTCCCCGGGGGAGAGGCGGGCCTCAGGCCCCGGGCCCCACCGGTG